ATACACTGGTTCCGGAATATGAGCTAACGGAACCTATCCATAAACAAAAAACATCTCAGCTTTATCAAAACCTAAACCTAAACCTAGAATTCAATTCCAAAAATCTCAACAATGTCAAAAACAAACTCACATCAATCAGCTTAGACAAAGGAGACTCCTTAAACATCTTCACCCATGGAAATTGCACAGATGATACTCCAGAAAGTGCTCTCCCAAAGTAATCAGCAAATCTCATTAGCTGAATCTCAGGCTGACTCGCATACGATTCCTATAAAAATCAAAACTTTAGATCACAATTCAACTAAATCACAAACAGATCGAAACAGAATTTCAAATCCATGCACATACCGATGCTTCAACGAGAAAAGCTTCGAGATTTGAAGGATCGATCTTTGAAGCAGCTTCAGGCAGAGACACTTTAGGCTTCTTCACCTTCTTAGGCTTTGGCTTTTTAGTTTCCTCAACCTTGAGATTCTCATTCCTTGCAGCGATCTCATCATCACTACCATCAAAATCATACCCATCATCGCCGTAACCATTAGATCGGCGTTTAGATCTAACAACACCATCATCATCTGAATCAACAGCAGCCATCTTCGCCGCTAAGATCCGTCGTCGACGATCTTCAGCTTGCTCTTCCAGTGAACGGAAAACGTTATCGCCTCCGTTAGCTACGGTTCCATTCTGAGCAACAGTTTTGCCACCATTCGCCGTCGCTTGATCCGCTGGTTTTTGCTTCCGGTGGCGTTTCGGGTACACGACTTTCTTCCAACCATGGTCGACGTGAGAGTTACCGTTAGAGGTCTCGAAGCCATTGTACTCGACAGATTCGATCGGATCCATTATTGGGTATTCTAAAGTTTCTAGCTTTTTCGCTTTTTCACTTCTCTCTCTCTCTATCTCCGGCGTGAAAAACAGAGACCAAACAAGACGACGAGATTTGACCGGAGGGAAGAGAAGGGTTAATTTATATAAATGAGAAAATAAAATAGGGTAGAGATAGATTAAAAACAATATCCTTGTTTTTTATCTTTACTACGAAATTGCCATTGATATTTTGTAACACACTGATTATGGACCAATCCTTTTGGGATTTGGTTTTGTTTTGTTTTTATTTTTAGTTTAATTATTTTTTTATGTTTTATGATTAGTGATTTGCTTTTCCCCAAAAGTCTAGAAATTAAGGGTAAAATATCACAGCCTCTGTTTTTTTTTTACCGTAAATATAAAAATTTTCTATTTTCTGATTGGTTTACTTTGGATTGGAACAAATATTCTCAGAAAATCAAATCTTTCGTTATTTTGGTGAAGTGTATGAATAATGATGACACTAACGTATCATAATCATCCTGTTTTAGAGTTTTAGATACTTTAGCATAATTAATACTGGACAGGAATCTAAATTTTGGATAATGTTTCCAAAGGTGAAAGCTACTTTTTTGTCAATAAGATCATGGTTTTTCATTGTTCAAACAATTATTTTCTTTCTGTATTTTGAAAGTATGACTAATATGATTTTATACTTCTTGCAGATTGGAATTGGATGGATATTAATGTGGATTAAAAAGCAATTTAATAAATTGTTAACAAAATAAATTAAAATTTCTATTATACTCCTAATAACAAATTGACTATATTATGTAGTTTCTTTAAAACGAAGTAGGAATATATTAGATATTTTCTTGTTAAAAATTATATACTAAAATCATAAAACGGCAATCGTATCTTCAAGAGACATCCAAAAATATTGAAATGGTACAAAGAAAATTCAGATGGCCCAAGTTCAGCTGATTGTTGTCTCTGCTCGGCTGCGACTGAATCCCGTGAACACTTGTTTTTGTCTTGTGTTTTTGCTTCTGAAATTTGGGCCCAGGTTTTCAGCAGGTTAGCGCCGTCTCACCATCTGTTCTTCTCGTGGGCTGAATTATTGTCTTGGACTAGACAATCTTCTTCGCAAGCTCCTTCCCTTCTCCGGAAAGTTGCAGCTCAAGCTACCGTCTATCATATTTGGCGCCAAAGAAACAATATCTTGCACAATGATCAAAGAATTCCACCATCAACAATATTCAAGACTATCGATAGAGAAATCCGAAACATCATCACCGGAAGACGTCATAGGCGGCTTTGGAGGCCTCTTATGCTCCTTTGGATTAGATAATTCCTTTTCCTAATGTGTAATTTATTGTAACCTTGTTTTTTATTTTCTTTTTGCCAAGGTTACTCTCTCTTTAGGTAGTGCTTTTGTAATACCTCAACATTCATTTTATATGATATTTACAAGTTTAGCAAAAAAAAAAAAGTTCTTTACTAGGAGAATCTACGGTCACAGTTTTGTTCAGCAGCTCTAGTTTTGGAAATCCTTCACCCTTCAATTAAAGACTCGGCACCTTAGGTAATCATCAACACACTGAAGAAAGACAACATTACATCTACAAAACAAGATCAAGTCTACTATCTTTCCTTTTTTCAAAACCTTTTGTCATTTTTAACATTGTTGAAAATATTGTATCACAAACACTTTGTTTTTTAAAAAAATTTAAATATTTAGTAGCCACACAGAAGTTTCAAGCCCGCTAATAAAATAAAAACTTTATATCAAAAAGAAAAATTCCAGATACATTTAAAGTGCACTAAGATATAACTCTATTGCCAACTACTAATTAACTCTTAACAACATGTCTTGATAACGAAAAGCTGTACTCTTAATTTCAATTTCTATTTCTTCAATAATTTGAATTACAAGTACTTATAAATATATGTATGCAAAATTCAAAATTTATAAATTTTAAATTGGAGAATTTTGATTCATAAATACATAAATAAAAGTGAATAAAATATTTATTTCAGTGGGCTGGTTTAGTTTTGGCATAAAAGAAAATGGAAAGTGGTGCCTTTGGTGGTGGAGAAGTTGTCGACATACAAATAGTCAAACAAACACATAAATATCTCATATCTTAAGGTCAACGGAATTAATGGCCAAGTAACAGCCATTCATGTATTCGTTGCCACTAATTTATACTTGTATTACTACAAATTAATTAATTTATTATCAGCGAACGTAACGTGATAATAATGAGCATTCATACTCCAAGTCTCCAACCACAATACCGTTTAATTTCAGCTTGAATATAATTAGCACAACATTCGTCTATTACTATTAACAGAAGAAAAATAACATCAAATAATTTAATAGAGATTTCAGTTTGGATCTGAGGACGAAAACAATTTGAAGCTTAACAGAAATTACTTTTTAGTAGATGACAGAACTTTTTGAATATAGTTATAATTTTAAATCTTGCGGGATAACAATTACTTGTTATTTTTCACTTTTTTTGTGAATGGTATGTATTCAGCGGAATCACGTTTCTAAAACGTAGGAGGGTGAAAAAGTTGTAAATACCATTCAATCCCTATGCTTTTAAGACTAACTAAAATTGTTTACCATAAATAAGTTTCTACAAAATAAATAATATTAGTTTTGTAGTAAGATGATTTAACCATTTGACTATAAAAAAACATTAGACTTTTTTTTTAATATAATCGACATTAGATTACTTAATTCGCTCAAGTTAAATTGTATGAATCTGATTAAAGCTTAATTTGTACTATTTCTTATAAACCAGCTAATTATATACTATTTGGTAAATATTCATAATGTAGTATCATCATGAATAACATTCGAAACCCCTTCTTTCACACTTTTTAATATATGTTCATTAAAAAAAAAAAAAACTTTTGATTGTTTTCCAGTGTAAGCAAGTATATTATTTTGTCACGAAGCTGTCTGAAAAAGCAAAAGAAACTAAAAGTGAAAAGGTTATTTATCTCGATTAAATTTAGTTTTATTCCACTGCAAGTCTTCACAACGAACCGAACTGAATTGACCAAAAGTATGTTCCTTTGAGACTGAAACAAATGTTTCCCGTGATCTGTAACTTTGTAAGTTATGTTCAATCTCTCTTTTTGTTGTTACACGAGTAATTTTCATCTATTAATTGTGTAAGTAAATAATTTGTTCTAATAGAGGCCCATAGTTTTTAGTCATTCGGCCCATCACAATTTATAATGGATTGAAGCCTCTCTTTCTCTTATATGAATGGATCGAAGCCTAAAGCCCATAATAAATGTAAGTCCAACTATAAACTTAATGGGTGTAGGATGATTATGTGTAACCGAGAGCGTTGGCCGTTGGTCTAACAATTTACCAAACCTCGCCACGATCCAATTAAACAAAAGAGAGATGTGACATACACGTCGCATTTAGAAAATATCTCATCGTTATCATCGTATTAGTTAGCCATAGGTAGTGAGACAAACATCGTGTTCTTCTTCTGGAACAATGTCGAAAGTAGAAACCTCCGCGTTAAGGATAAGGAAGTGTGGTGTGTGAGACGTGTAGTAGTAAATAAAAACAGTGTGTCGTTTTCATGATAAGGAAGAAGAGAAATAAAGCACGGCAACAAGACTTGTGGAGGCAAGAGTACAAGTTGGTACGGAACTTGTGTAGTTTGTTTAGTTTAGTTGTGTATATTTGTACTTTCTTCTATTTTCTTCTTCTGTCACAAAGTTTGTTTTCCTTTTCTAATCAAAATCAAATTTTTATAACACTTTTTAAATTTGGATTCTCGACAATGACGTATCCTACACAACTTGACACTTTACGACAAGAATTTTTTTTAAAAGGTATATTCCTCATCACGGATACAGATATCACTCTAATTTGCTCTATTATTGCGTGACAATAATTTCAAAACGTGTTTTACGAGACGAATAATACAAAATTGTACTAAAGAAAGTTGCAGAAATTTTCTGCAGTTGCACAAGTTGCAAGAAGAAGAACTAAAAGAAACCAACTTCAACACTTGAAATAGTGCAAAATCCAGAAGAATTTGATAGTTTTATTCATGAATGAAAGATGAAAATAACAAACTTTGGAATCAAAATCATAAGCAAAACCAAAAAAAAAACAGAAACAAAGAAAACATAATAATAAAACAAAGATTGGTCTTATTGTTTCATTAAAGAGAAGAAACATAATCTTAATGGCTTGAGACTTTGAGATTGAAGGATTTGTTGATCCAAGCCTTCAAGCTTCCACCTTTTCTTGCTCCATTAATGGTAGAGTTAGATCTTCCATTACTTTCCTCAACCTTCTTCTCTTCTGGTTTCCTACACAACATAAAGTTCCTTGCTCCAAGAGACCCAATTGCATTCCATGTGCTTAAAGCTGTCATTAAAAAAACAACATCAGTAAACCAATTCTCTAAAGAGATCATTGAAATCATTGAGATTGAGTTAGTACCTTCAGGTCCAACCATAGGACAATAAAGAAGAAAATCATTGAAATCAGATCCAAGAAGTGGAAGACGACCTTCACGAGCGTAACATTTAAGAGCAGTATCGATAACAGAGGCAACAAGATCATCCTCAAAAGCAACAAACCGGATCGGACCGGCACTACCCAAAACCGTAACGCTAATGAGAATTCTATTCCCTTTAGCGTTTTGGTTCTTCTTCTGCTTGTTGTAGAGCAACATCTTCGTAAACTTTTTTTTTCAAGAGAGAACAAAAAACAGAGCAAATCTCACAAGTAACAGAGAATCAAAACAGAACCCTTTTTTTTTAGGTTAAAATTAGGGTTCTTGGTTGTGAAAATTTGGGGTGAATCGTTCACGGGTCGAGGCCAAGGCAGCGAAAGTACCAGCCTTCTTTGCAAGATCCGAAAGCGAAAACAGAGGATGTGGAGAGAGGAAGGAAAAAGCTCGCCCTTTTGATGGAAAGGGAGAGCGAAAACTTACCACCGATCGGATTAGTTTCCACCATTCACAAACGATTCACACAGATTTTAGTTTAACCGGAGAAGACGAGAGAAGAAGATGCTTTTTGGTGGTGAAGCAGAGGAGAGAAATAGGGAGAGAGATTTGTTTTCTTTTGGAGAAGAATGTGATTGTTGTTGAGCTTAGAGACGATGAGGCTGTATATAAGTAAGTTGGTTAGGTTAAAGGCTTTTTTGGGGAATTTTGGAAATTGAGAATTTTTTCGGTTTTACCTTTTTTGGTGGTTTTTGGAAACGTGTCTTTTTTTTTTACCAACGTGTAATTAAAAGAGATATTATATGATTTTTATATATTTTTAAATCTTGATAAAATATAAACTAATTTAATGCCTGGAAATTCTGAATCTTAACTACATAAATGAATATCTAAGTGAATTTATAAAGCAAAAAAAAAAAATCTCCTAAATGTATAAAAACGACTAAAACATAGAAAGCAAAGGAAATTAAACAAAAATAAAAAATGTAGTAATAAATTTGTGATATGTGAAAAGTAAAGAAAATGTTATAAAAAAGAATTTAAGATAAGATCGAATTAAATATTATACAATCTAAAGTGATAAGGAAGAGTTTAAAGAATTTTTTTTCTTATGTGTTAATTTTACTAAAAAAATTAGATTTACTTAAAAATATGGATGCATGTATTAGCAGGATATTAATTAGTTAAAGATACGGGTTCATAAAAATAAATTGAAAAAAAAAAATTATTAAAATCAAAATAAAAATAAAGAATGGATCAAAACGTTTTGGCAAATAGAAAGGCTAGAAAAGCTCTAGCTAAATGTAGTGATGATGATAATGGATAAATTGGTCGGATTTATGGATTTTTTCAGATGAATTTTATCGTTTTTTTTTGTTGCTAATATGGTGGAACAAGTTATAGCAAAAATTGTGGTAAGTGGTTCATATGCGTTGCTTCTTACGTTTATATTTTGCAAGTCATGCGAATTGAATTGTAACATTAGATTGACATACACGTATATTGTACTACTAGACATGTGAATGCTCATTGCTCTCTAGAATATCCCACTAAAACTAATCACATAAGATATATATTACACTGATATCTAGAACATAAAAACAAACGCAAACACAAACAAATAATCGAGATATAAGTCGCGTGCGGGCTATATAGGGAAGGTAATGAAGTTGATTTAGATTGGAACTCTTATACATATCGGACTCTCTATATAGGGAAGGTAAAATATGAAAGTGATAAAAATAGTAAAACGGTCGCTATCGAAGTTGAGCAACATGAAAAGAGCATCACGTGTCATGCGTTGGACCATTGTCCTGATCCTTGCTGCTTTTAGGTTCCACCGATCCAAACCTCCCCCATATTCTTTTTTGTTCAACACCTCCCCCATATTAAACTTGAGAAGTTACACGTTTCTTCAACTTTAGGACTTGTTGAGTTTTAAAAATCTTAGAAACCTCATCTATCTTACAGTTGTGTTATTTCAGAGTATTAAAAAAACTTTGAGGAGAGTTGTACCAAAATTTATCTTTTAGTAGATATACGCAAACATCTATCATGGTTATCGACAACTTTAATTTGATTTTTGGCATATACCTAAATTTTTGTAATTTTCTAGGGACTTGGTTCTAATTAACGGGATCGTTCGCTAAGCATGTTTCGTGTACTTCTTCATTGTCTTTTCATTGTTGGAAGTCTTGAAATTCAAATCTTTATCATGTTTTTTTTTAAGCTTAGTTGAGCTAGGTAGACTTTTAAGTCATTGAATGAAGAAAACCTATCATTGTCTAATGTACGAAAAACGTGTCATCAAAAAAAAAAAAAAATAGATTTGTATCTTTTTGCATCGCGAGATCTTAATTACCGTATGAACAGTATAATTAATCTTCTCATAACCCATATTATTATACCCTAAACTATATGTATAGCCTTGTAGGTAAATGGAATTATTATGAAAACAGAATCAGGTGCAGAGAACCATAATGGGCCATGATCTTGAATGGTGCAGAGCCAATTCAAAATCATATTATGACTTAAGACAGTGAGAGCACATGACTAACGGATAGGACCAAGGAAGTATAGAGAGGTCGTAATTAAGTTTAAGAGAAGACAGCTATCAATCTCATCTCATGCATTATGATCTCTCCATCGATCTATATATATCACCTAACTTCTTCTTATCATATCAGCTAGCTCCTCCTCCATGTCTTATCCTGAGCCGCTCAATGTTCCACTAACCTTGTCTGGTTAACGTACTTGTATGATTTATCATATGTAATCATTCACACCCTAAATCTTGATTACCTCGTAAAACATATGCTATAGATTTTATAAATATGTATGTGTTAATCAAACTACAACGATAGTTAAATGAATATAACCAAACATGGCTTACTCTTTGTTCAATTTAGGTTTGTCATGTCCACATTGTATGATCTTACCCATAAGCTCATAGCATTGACATCAATCATTCTTCTGGTTATACAATTGATTATACATGTGTCACCTGAAACCTAGTGTTTGGTGATATGAGATAACTTTTAGAATTCTTAGATTACAAACATGATTTTATATTGACATCTAGATTTGTTTGGATTTCAGTTCAAAATGTTATTTGGTTATATATTTACATGCTGGTTAGTGTTTTTATTTTATATATGTAAGATATTTTCTTACATTTATATCTATCCACATCCAATACACTTATACGTATTTAAAAACATTTGTTCGTTGATAGTTGTTTAAACTATCACATACTAGTCGAAATACGGTCAGGATTTGTATTCCCTCAGTCAAAGACAAAGGAGTGGGCATATAGTATATACCCATAATACCCTATAACTAAATAACAGGTCATTTAGAAATCTGAATAGCATATTCCAAATTAATCTCATCCATAGAAAAAACTAATTAATGTGACAGCTGGGCTGACCATATATTGTATTTTTTGTTTGTTTTTTGGCACAACAATATTTTGTGTTTATATAAATCTTATGGTTTTATTTCAAACGTACGATAAGGATTTGGAATAGAACAAATGAAATTGGAAACGGCTCTTCTTTAATTATTGACCAGCCACTCTGTGTCTGTTCAATTAGCGACTAGCCAGATTCTCCCAATTTTCTCATTGTCCATTGATTTCAATTATACGCCAAACTCTTCTAGATTCAAAGGTAGGTCCATTAAACTTCAACATGCCACACGTTATTTTACTCATCTCAGTCTATATCGTACCAATTGCTCCATATTTTACAATATCTTATATCTCTAATTGTCACTCGCATCTAAGATTCGCCACTAGTTATTATCAATTCACCCGACTAGAATCCTCAGTTTTCAGTCGTTCTCAAAAAAAGTTTTAAAGGATATTATTTTTAAAAATTTTAAAAATGAAAAACATCATAGGAAACAGAAAATTCACCGAATGAAAAAATAAAAATAATTCAGACGTGACGAAATATCTAAAGTGACATCGATTTTGTTTATTGCTCATTGTATTGTTCGAATAATCGATTTTTATATACAATTATTAGTTTTTTGCTACGAAGCTTAGAGTAATAAAGCTAAATTTTCAAAGTTTAAGATAATCAAATGGAATGTTTAGCCCATAATTCACAGTTATAACAATTTTTGTTTGGTTTTGTTAACACATCTATGAATTTTATAATGATATGTCAATTAGAAGTCAAATGATATATTGAATACTAAAAATATTTTAACTGAACAATTTTTGACTAAATAACTGAATTTTCTACATTTTCTAAATATATTTTAAAGATATTCAATATATAAAATATAATTACTTTAAAAAATGTCAAAACGTAAAAATTTGATAAATACTTTCAATGATAAAAAAGACATTCATATTAATACACGTGAAAAATTGTATACCATATATATTCAAAATATATAATATAATTAATTTTATGCTATTACCTATATCATTATAGCTTGCTTAAGATGCAGTAATTTGATTAGATTAGTCTCTAATGAAATGAGTTTGTCGACAAAAGAATAAAACTTATAGTATTTGGTAACTTTGGGTCTAAACAATAATTACCGGTATTAACTTTAAACTTATAAAAAGTCTAGGGACTAAAAAAGAAGAAAATAAAGATATCGGCGACATGAATGAATGAGACACAACTCTAAAGAAAGTAAAGGAGCAGCGATGAAATCGGTTGTCCGTAAACAACGGATAGATCTGTCGATGTTTGTTTTTGGAACTCCGCGTTGAATCAGCGTCGATGTTTCTCGTACTTTTGCATAATCCAAACTCGTTTCGAATTATAAATCTCATCAAATCCCCGCTTATTTTGGGTAGATTCAGGCAAAAAGGGTTAAAGGGGATTTGTGTTCTTCGATATCATCAATTCATTGGAAAAAGTTTTAAACTTTATATTTAAAAGTCTCTTCCTTTTTCTTTCTTTTTCGGTGGAATTTGCAGCAATGGAAGATAAACCATTAGGGATTCTCAGAGTTCATGTCAAACGAGGGATTAATCTTGCTATTCGTGATGCCACCACCAGTGATCCTTATGTTGTTATCACATTGGCTAATCAGGTTTGGTTCATACCCTTTTTGATTCTTAAGTGATCTCAAATCGAATGTTGATTATGAATGTTATAGAGTTATAGTCACATGGAGGAGGTACAATGTGAGGGACTGATCATTACCATGTGATGGTTTTGGTGGCCACCCATGTGAGAAAGATCTCAATTTGATCTTTGCTTTGTGTCTTTCTTTGCTAAAAAACAAAACTTTCTAAAACTTCCTAAGCATAATCTTGTCATGTTCTGAAATAACAAATTCTGGTATTAGTCTTGTGTTGCAAAAGATAGATGTCTTGAAGGGCCAATTTTGTAAAACTGACGAGTACTCTCTATGCATAATCTTGTTGAAGGTTCATCTCCCAAAAACTAATGAGCATTAAAGATAGATGTCTAGGCTCTTGTTGAAGGGTCATTTCCCAAAGCTAGCTAGCAAATGATACATGTAATTACATAATCTTGTTGAAGGGTCACGGGTGGGAAGTTAATGTTATCTAATAGAAAATTGAAAATGGATATGACTGACTTGGCTTAAGATGATTGTGTCTCTATGGTTGTACTTTGTGAAGCCCTCTTTATCATTATTTGTATTATGTAACCTTATGTTTGTGTATTTGTTTTTCATATCATCTTGACTTGTTTTAATCTTTGTTCCTTCAGAAACTGAAGACGCGTGTGATTAATAATAACTGTAATCCAGTGTGGAATGAACAACTGACCCTTTCCATCAAAGATGTGAATGATCCAATCCGTTTGGTAAGCTATCGTGTCTATTACAACGGTCTCCATTGCAAGCCTAAGCTATTAGCTTCACATTGTTGATGCATTTCTTTCTCCCTAAACGTATCTTTCCATGGACGTTGGCTCATATTATGCTCTGTTTATGCAGACGGTGTTTGATAAAGACAGATTCTCGGGAGATGACAAAATGGGTGATGCAGAAATAGACTTTAGGCCGTTCCTAGAAGCGCATCAGATGGAGTTAGATTTCCAGAAGCTCCCCAATGGTTGTGCAATCAAGAGGATCCGTCCAGGCAGGACCAACTGTTTAGCTGAAGAGAGCAGCATCACTTGGAGCAATGGGAAGATCAAACAAGAGATGATTCTTAGACTAAAGAATGTCGAGTGTGGGGAAGTAGAGATCATGCTTGAGTGGACCGACGGTCCAGGCTGCAAGGGTCTGGGACGCGAAGGTATGCTAACAATCCTCGGTTTTTAAGTTGTGCTTGTGCATATCTATGCTTGTGATTAACATGCGAGCATTGTTTCTTTTAGGATCCAAGAAGACACCATGGATGCCGACAAAACGATTGGACTAAGACGCAGAAATGTTAAAACAGAGACCGCAAAGATGTGATGGTATTTTTTCTTTCTGTTCATGGAAAGACAAAGATGAGTTTGTCGAGTTTGTCTTTGTCTCATCAGAGTTTAAATTGATAAAAAGGCTCTGCTTTGGTCTTTAGTTGTACATGTCGAATAACTCAACCCTTAATATATATTGTATCTGTTTCTACTAACTGAAGAAATAAAGCAAACCCTGAATTTCTAGAACTTCTTTCAGTTTTTTCTTTGGTTCTGGTAACATTAGAAATCGCTCATCTATATCAGTATGTATATGAAATTATATTTGCAACGTATTACCTTTTTTGTGAAAAGTCATGATTATGTATAAGTAAGTGCACAATGTCAATGTCAGAAAAAGAGAATGCAGGAGATATTTCTTATGAATAGAATCTAGAAGATATTCGTGTGAGTAACGCGTAGATGCTAATTAAAGTGAGTGAACAGTTGACAAAGAAGCTGGAAAAGAGACCTTTTGAATTGATCTTTCTTCTTTTTTTTTTTTGTTTCTTTTGATTTAAGTGGCAAAGTTGAATTTGTGTCGGTGATTGTTTTTAAGTGAATAAGAAAAGTAGTAGAGACAGGAAACAGGTGTGCTTTCTCTTCAACAGAAGCAAAATGGAGAAACCAGAGGAAGAAGATGAGATTAAGGAACTGGTAGGGCTTGTGAGAATCCAAGTGAAGAGAGGGATCAATCTTGCTCGTCGAGACGCTTTTAGCAGCGACCCTTTTGTCGTCATAACCATGGGATCACAGGTCTTTTTCTCTCTCTTTCTGATTGTAATCTGATTTGGTTCTCTTGGTTCACTGATTTTGATCTGTTTGGTGTTTCCAACTCTGTTCTTGAGATATATTATTTATCTGTTTACTTTTCTTCATACACAGAAGATCAAAGAATTGACCTTTAAGAAGAAACATGAATACAAATCATTTAAAAAGATTTTACATTTCATGCTACAGAATGAGAACAATCGATAGCTTTAGTATTTGATTTTCATAGATATAGAAATGAATTTGCTTATAGGATGTTACTTTGCAACTGAAAATTGGTTAATCTTTGAATTGCACCAGAAGCTGAAATCTTTTACTGTGAAAAATAACTGCAACCCAGAGTGGAACGAAGAGTTGACCCTTGCGATCGAAAATCCCAATGAACCTGTGAATCTGGTGAGTACTACTAGTACCCGATTTATGCAAGTAACTGCATGACTCATGAATTTCCAACTCAAAACCAACTGACGATAAGTGGTTTGTTCCATATGTTTTTGTTTTCGTTTGAGTGCAGATGGTGTATGATAAAGATACATTTACATCAGACGACAAGATGGGAGATGCGGAGATAGATATGAAACCGTTCCTAGAGATTCACAAAATGGGTTTGCAACAACTTCCAGACGGAACAGAGATCAAGAGAATTGTACCAACCAGAGACAACTGCTTGGCTGAAGATAGCAGAATCGTCTCCGATAACGGCAAGATCGTACAGGACATGATTCTTGTGTTGAAAAATGTCGAATGCGGCAAGATCGAGATCCAGCTTGAATGGATTAAAAATCCAGGTGGTAGTGGACTCTGAAAAAACAGAGATAAAGTATCTTTATGATTCTCTACTCTGTATGTGTGTAATAAAAAAATCTCAGTTCATAAATAGAACAGACTACTACTACTACTCTGCTTTGTAATGGAAATATTTGGTTTTAGATCTAACCGAAACCGTTTTGGTTTCCCGCGAGTTTTCTCTTCATCAAAAGTGATATTTTGGTTTGTTAAACATGTTCTCTCCGTTTCATATTAAGTGTCATTGTTTTAGGGACAAAAGTTTGTTTCAAAATAAGTGTCGTTTTTAAATGTAAAAATTTGATAAGATTTTCTACTATTGTAACGTAAGCAATAAGGCGTAAAACAGAAAATTAAATAATTTTTTAATCAATGTGAAAAATCCTTAAACGAGAAGAAGGTATAGTTTTTTCTTGGAAAATCAAGTCAACGACTTAAACCTTTCTCCATTGTCAGAAAAAAAAACGAAGAATCAAGAAGATATTATCACCAAAGAGAATCCAAAGATGTTCGTGAGAGTAACGCTTATATGAGAATAATCAGGAAAGAAACACCTGCAAAAGAAACCATGTATAGCACTATTTTTGATGGTCTTTATTTTTGTTTCTTTATTCGCTCTTTCGTCAATTGATAAGCCAATTTAAGTTGTCTTCGTTTGGGTGCACACAAAAAAAAAAAAGAAAAAAAAGAAGAGGTGGTCTTCGTTGAATTTGAGCCGGTGATTCTTTTTGAGAGAATAAGAAAAGTAAAGAGTCAGAGCCGAGAGGGGACATCGATCAAAAAATTGAGAAGAAAAAAACAGAGAGAAAACAGAGGAAGAGGTTGAGATGGAGGAACTTGTAGGCCTTCTGAGAATCCGAGTGAAGAGAGGGATCAATCTTGCTCAGCGAGACACTCTAAGCAGCGACCCTTTCGTCGTCATAACCATGGGATCACAGGTCTTTTCTCTCTCTCTCTCTCTGATTCTAATCTGATTTGGTCTTTTCTTGATATATATTTCTCTGTTTATCGAAAAATCGACCTTCAAGAAGCATGATAGATTTCAATTAAATGAAAAAAATACACAAGAGAATACTAATTTCATGCCACAGAAACGAAATAAATAGATAGTTTTAGTATATGATTTTGATAGATTAAACGGTTTAAGAGACAGTGAGAAAATCGAGTTTTCGATGTTAGGATGTTTTAATGTTTATATCTTGCATGTACTCTAATTGAATTCTTTGAATTGCACCAGAAGCTGAAGACGCGTACTGTGGAAAATAACTGCAATCCTGAGTGGAACGAGGAATTGACCCTTGCGTTAAAACATCCCGATGAACCTGTGAATCTGGTGAGTACTTCTATCATTCCATTTTCGATTTCCAACTCAAAACCAATTGACAATAAGTAACTACATGTAGTTGTTTTTGACAGATAGTGTATGATAAAGATACATTCACATCGCACGACAAGATGGGAGATGCAAAGATAGACATCAAACCATTTCTAGAGGTTCACAAAATGGGTTTGCAAGAACTTCCAGATGGAACAGAGATCAAGAGAGTTGTGCCCACCAGAGACAACTGTTTATCTGAAGCGAGCAGTATCGTCTCCAATAATGGCAAAATCGTTCAGGACATGATTCTTCTGTTGAAGAATGTCGAATGCGGCGAGGTCGAGATTCAGCTTGAATGGATTGAAATTCCAGGTTCTAGAGGGCTTTGAAACAGAGATGCAATATCTTTACGATTCTCTCTCTCTCTCTATGTGTACTAAAAAAATCTTTCTTCACAATAAGTAGAACAGAGTACTACTCTGCTTTGTAATTGAAATATTTGGTTTTAGTTTCCCGCGAGTTTTTTTAGAAGAGAATATGCTGTTGTTTGTTCTTGATGAAGAAAAAAAAAATGTGGAGAAGAAAAAACCAAAAAGATCTAATAAACTTGGAAGTTTGCTTGCGGATATTTTTTTTTGTGGTTAAACATGTGAAATTGCAGAGATATTCAAACGTAAGGTTATGGTTACATCTAGTTACAAAAATCTTATCCATCTTCAAATCCCTAATTTGAAAAACACTTCTAATAGATACAAACAAGATTGCAAATATATTTGTTTCTTTTATTTGGATCTCTGCTTTCAAGTCTGAAACTTAGAACTCTGTTTCTAATTTACTTCAAAAGCTATGGCGTCGACTTCAACATCATCTTTAATGGCTTCAAAAACTGTAATCTCCAAAACAGCTCTGTTTTCTTCCTTACCGGGAATAGTCAACCGGAGTTTTTTAACATTCTCACCAGCTTCTCCTTCCGTGAAACCCCTTAGGACAAGATCTTCAAATGTTACTAAGTTCGATGAAGTAACCAACAGTCTTGACGAAGATATGGACCAGATTCGACGGTTGCAAAACGGTTCTGATGTTAGAGGAGTCGCATTGGAAGGAGAGAAAGGTCGAACGGTTGACCTAACGCCTGCAGCTGTTGAAGCAATCGCAGAGAGCTTTGGAGAATGGGTTGCAGCAACGGAGAGTAATGGAAACGGCGTCATTAAGGTTTCTCTCGGACGGGATCCACGTGTTTCCGGTGGGAAGTTAAGCACGGCTGTGTTTGCCGGTTTAGCTCGTGCAGGTTGTTTAGCTTTTGACATGGGTTTGGCTACTACTCCAGCTTGCTTCATGAGCACGTTACTCTCTCCATTCGAATACGACGCTTCAATTATGGTAACACGCTTCCATCTTAAAGAGCTCTGTGTTTTGTCAAGTTTCACGGACTTTCCAACTCAAAATCAATTGATAATAAACGGAATTGATTATTATTCCTAATATGTTTAGTCGTTGTGGTTTTAAGATGACAGCTTCTCATTTACCGTATACAAGAAACGGACTCAAGTTCTTTACCAAGAGAGGAGGATTAACGTCTCCTGAAGTGGAGAAGATATGCGATTTAGCTGCGCGAAAGTACGCTACTAGGCAGACTAAAGTCTCTACATTGATCAGAACGCGACCGACACAAGTCGATTTCATGAGCGCTTACTCTAAGCACCTTAGAGAAATCATTAAGGAGAGAATCAATCACCCTGAACACTATGACACTCCTCTCAAAGGATTTCAGGCAAGAGACTAGCTTTATGCTCTCTCTCTCTCTGTCTTGAGATTTTTGATGAAATATTGTGACGTTTTTTTGGTTGGTGTATGCTAGATAGTTGTGAATGCGGGTAATGGGTCAGGAGGGTTCTTTACGTGGGACGTTCTAGACAAGTTAGGAGCCGATACATTCGGTTCGCTCTATCTAAACCCAGACGGGATGTTCCCCAATCACATTCCTAATCCGGAAAACAAAATCGCAATGTCACACACCCGAGCCGCGGTTCTTGAGAACTCAGCGGATCTCGGGGTTGTATTTGACACGGATGTTGACAGGAGTGGAGTGGTGGATAACAGAGGAAATCCTATAAACGGTGATAAGCTCATTGCGCTTATGTCAGCTATTGTGCTTAAAGAACATCCAGGTGGGTTACACTAATGATCCATATCTTTGATTGATTAACTAATGTGACTTATAATATAATGTTTTGAGTATAGGAAGTACAATAGTGACTGATGCAAGAACGAGTATGGGGCTAACTAGGTTTATAACGGAGCGAGGAGGGAGGCATTGTTTGTACAGAGTAGGGTATAGAAACGTGATTGACAAGGGAGTAGAGCTGAACAAAGACGGCATCGAGACTCATCTCATGATGGAAACTTCAGGACATGGTGCTGTTAAGGAGAATCACTTCTTGGATGATGGTTACTTCATTACTACTCTTCTTAATTCTTATGTTTTTTTTTTTAATTTTTTTTTTTAAAATTAAAATACTTGGGACACATTGTAGGGGCATACATGGTGGTGAAGATCATAATTGAAATGGTGAGAATGAGACTCGCGGGATCAAATGAAGGTATCGGTAGTCTGATCGAAGATCTTGAGGAGCCGTTAGAAGCGGTTGAGCTGCGGTTGAATATTTTATCAGAGCCAAGAGATGCCAAAGCAAAAGGCATTGAAGCCATTGAGACTTTCAGAGAATACATCGAGGTATTATAACTTATATCAATTGGTTAGGCTGTAGCTGTAGACTTGGTAATTATAATTGTGGAACATATAAAAATGGTTACTAGGAAGGAAAACTGAGAGGGTGGGAATTAGGCACGTGTGGGGATTGTTGGGTGAGTGAAGGTTGCTTGGTGGACTCAAATGATCATCCATCTGCCATTGATGCTCACATGTACAGGTAATAATTAAATGTGCTCACAGCCTCACAGATGATAGAATTCGAATTAATAATCGAGAAATAATTCAGGGCAAGAGTGAGTGATGAAGAGAGTGGGGAAGAGTATGGTTGGGTGCATATGAGGCAGAGTATTCATAACCCTAACATCGCACTTAATATGCAATCAATGCTTCCTGGTGGATGTCTCTCCATGACAAGAATCTTCAGAGACCAGTAAATTTTTATATTTAAGTCTAGTTCTGAATGTGAAAGATATTGTTATATATAAGTAAGCATTTGATGATAAAGTTGAATTTATGTGTGGTTTATCAGGTTTCTTGATGCTAGTGGGATTGCTAGATTCCTGGATATAAGTGACTTCGACAATTACATCGGAGGACAATCTTGAAGGTTCTTAATTAAATGTGAAATTTGTAATTAAAACACAACATGAATTGCTGCTACGTATCGTATCTTTAGTTATATGTAAATAAAGGTTTTTATATTGAAATTTTGTTTATGATAGTTCAATTCTATATCCCGGATAATCTATTTTGTTGATGAATGTATGTATGTAAAGAAATATCTTATGTCTAAATTCTAACTAATTTACACATATCATCAAAGAGGTTGTTGCCTTATTCAAATCCATTATTAGTCCTGAGATGTTTGACATATGTACCACTTTTATTCCCAACGAAATTCTTCCATTCTTTTGTTCTTTAAGAAATAAATCCAAATTTTCTTTCGAGTAATCATACCTACCAAACTATTATATATAGATGGAGAACGGCCCAAAAATCATAAAGAATATATTCCAGTAAAACTAGACTCGTGTGGTATCAAAACACAATCTTCTTCATAGAAACCAAATTTATGCATTCTTTTCTCACCGATGATAAAGGTTGTCTCTATTATGATTTTTCCAAGTGACCATAAGGTAACTGTCACAAATTTTAAAATAATTAAAACCAAAACTTTTTTTTTTTTATAAATCCTATCGGCTACCGGCTAATCCGGTCAGTTTCTGTAGAAACGCATTAAAGTGTTATAGAGTGGATTTTTCCTCAAAGAGTCACAACACTGTTTATTCTAAATTTGGAATGTTTTCCAACTAATGTCTGGGATAGCCAGATCGCTAGTTATCGAACTATCAGGTAAACTGCTTCGACCGAAACTCAAATCCAAACTTTCCACATGAATGTAAAACTGAAAAAAGAAAAAAAAAAAGCCTTCTAACCAGTTAAGTCTGATTCCGCAATTCAAAGAATTTAAGATTCATGGCTTCAATGAAAATTTAAGTCTGATTCCGCAATTCAAAGAATTTTTTTATAACAAAATATCCAATATTTTATTTAAAATTGATCTTCCATTATGCTCTATCTTAAATGCTCAGTTGCTCACCCAATTTTCTGTCTACGTATTTAAAGCTTAATTATGTACAAAATATTTGTACATAAAAAAAAAATCTTGGGAAGAAAGTAAAGAATTTAATTTATTTCACAAATACTTAAAAAACAAAAACATTTCAAAAAGACAAAAACTAACATCAAATTTATTAGATATCAGTATATAACATCATATGGCATTGACATAAAAAATTGTCTAAACAATTAATTGAATCTATTATCCGTATTAGGCTATTACCAAACATAGCCTAAAAATCTCACTCTAAACAATTATATCTTCTTCTTTTTGTTGTTAAAGGGTTTGCTAAAAATATGAATTTAACAATACTTAAAAAAAAAGTAAAAAATCATCTCTTGTAACATGTATGATCACTGTTAAGTATTAACCAAAAAAATTCTAACTATTTCCTTATCTGATCAACATTAACGTAAAGTAATCGTAGATATGAATGAAACATGATTGGATATATTTGCGGGACCATAATAATGTCAAGGTAAGTAATTGATATAAGTGGCGGATCTAGAAAATAATTTCGCCGGGGCATAATATATTAACTAATAATACTAATATTTTTTTTTTCATTTATGGGAAGTAATAAAAAAGGAAAAAAGTTGATTCTTGCAAAAGATATGACTAAAATAGAAAACATCCATATAAAATAGCTAAAATTTAGGGAGAAAAAAATTACAAAAAGAAAGAAAGGGAAAAACAAGTATATTAATTGAATGGGGCAACATGGGTTTGATCGTGGATTTAAAGGGGGGCAGAGGAAGATATTTCATCATTTTAGCTAGCAAAACACAAATGAAATCAATAAAAATACAACAATTTTTAAATTTTAACGGGGGCAGCTGCCACCCCTACTGCCTTCTTAGATCCGCCCCCATAACAGATCCCCCACATTATGAATAAGTTGAATTTTGAATTCCCCCTCTGCATATAACATGTTCCAATATACAAATATTGTATCGGGTTGATTTCGTCGATCAGCATGTTTTTCTTATCTTTATTAAATCATGAAAGCATAAACATAGGGGTTCGCTAATCCAAGCATATATTATTAGCAAACAAACATAACAAACATATAGATATTTGTAGTAGCTTCATCATAGCTACTACACGTTGCTTTTCAAAGTTACAATAGCCAAAGGTAAAACGATCTTAGTATACATACATTCATGCACACTCACATATATATCTCACACATGGCTCTTAGTCCTTATTTATTGCATTTAAATTCAAACACGAAGAGTACTGTCCTCTATTCCTCGGCCAATAGATGTTCGTCGATCTCTTTGGAGACCTCGACACAGAATTGGAGGAGAGTTTCGGGATGAGCCACCTCCTCGCTAATTTTCTCATACTCAAGGTGCCAATGCACAATACTTCCAGGGCCTCCATGCTTAGGGGTCACCTGGATCGTGAGCAAGAAGCTCTTGTACTCTTTCATCAGATCACCTTCGATAACCCTAAACGTGATCAAGTTCTTATCCGGATCCACCGCCTCAATCCTCTCCTTAGCCACCTTTGCCTCTCCATCTGCACAAATTATTTAACATTTGACATTATAGGTTTAACTTTGAGACATGGTTATACATGAACAAGAAGATTTATACAAAATTGACTTGCCATGAACATAGTTCCAAAAGACGATAGAGCCAACTTTTCCCCAGTCGCCTTCGTGCAGATCACAGCCTTGAATATTTCCTGGAGATGCTTTAGAGACATGATGTGGTTTCCCTGCGAACATGTGATGGAACTTCTCAGCTGAAGCTTTGATCTCCACGTCTGTCTCTAGCTTCCCCACCAAACTAGGCGTCTCTGTTGTCTTCACCTCTTCTTCCTCAGCCAAGAGATGTTCGTCGATCTCTTTGGACACTTCGACACAGAACTGAAGAAGAGTCTCGGGATGAGCTACCTCCTGGCTAATCTTCTCATACTCAAGGTGCCAGTGCACAATACTTCCAGGCCCTCCATGCTTAGGGGTCACCTGGATCGTGATCACAAAGCTCTTGTACTCTTTCATCAGATCACCTTCTATAACCCTAAACGTAATCAAGTTCTTATCTGGCTCCACCGCCTCGATCCTCTCCTTCGCCACCTTTGCCTCCCCATCTGTACCAATTATTTAACATATCATATTAATAAGTATAACTTTCGTCTTAATAATCTCCTGGTTATTTTTTATTTTTTTAGGTGTAAATGTTAAGATCTCCTAGTTAATTTGTATATGAGAATGATGAATATAACATAGACTTGCCATGAACATAGTTCCAGAAGACGATAGAGCCAACTGTGCCCCAATCGCCTTCGTGCAGATCACAGCTTTGAATGTTGCCTGGACTTGCTTTGGAGACATGGTGTGGTTTCCCAGCGAACATGTGATGAAACTTATCAGCCGAAGCCTTGATCTCCACGTCTGTCTCTAGCTTCCCCACCAAACTAGACGCCTCCGTTTTCTTCACCTCATCTTCCACGGGGTTCTTTGTAGCTACGTCCGCCATTTTTCCAACGGCTGGTTTGATTTTCTTGAGGAGGGTGAGATTTTTGTTTTTGGTATAGAGAGTGAGTTCCCTTAGGACTTGGATAGCCCTATATATAGAGGAATGAGTGAGCATCTCTAGAAGTAGAAGACACTGGTTTAATTGTGATTTCACAATCCCATTATTGTGACCCATAAAGATTCAGTAAGATTTCCACCTAAAAAATTATTTTTTTAAATGTGTATTTAAGATTTTTTAATTTTTTTTTGTACGAAGTCCTTTCTATTTTGTAAAGCTTCACTTTCTATTTTAAATGAGTAACTATTAACCAAAAATTAACACTGAATTATTTGCGTCCTTTCACGTCGCTCTTTTCTCTGTTAACGATCAAATGCATTTATTATTGCCAGTGGTGTTTTCTTATTTAAAAAATACAAGTTGCCTAGAAAATATTACAGAGAAGAACTCGTATGATAAATAACACTTTTAAGCTCGTTTCGAGAGACTAAAGATTTGGTAGGAATTGAATTTTGTTAGTCCGTGGAACCTCAATGTATTTTCATGCAGTTGATTGTTACATTCCTAACCAGGTCTGAGTGTTTGTAGTTTGTCAATGAAATCTACAAGACATAGTGAGAGAGGCCAGCTTGTTTCAGTCCCAAAGATCTTTACAAATGAATGTTGGGGTCTTGGGGATCTCGATTTTTCAATGTGGAATGAAAAGAAATGTGAATAGGTGACATAACAACTTTTTGTCTATTGGGAAAATAATAGAGTTGTTATAACAGTTAGAAGAGGGAGATAAAACAAACGTCAACAATTTTTCATGTTAAACATCATGGGTTAAATTTTATTTGTGTCGAGTCTACTGTTACTATACACATATATTAATTTACTTGTTATATTTATATAATAATCAAATTTGATCAATGTAATCTACAATTCACAACTTCAATTACAAATTAAATAATAATAAATTCTCTTTCGTCTTTCTTTTATTTCGGTATTCCGATAATTTTGTATATAAAAGTTTATTTGTTATTTATATTTATATCTACCATAAAATAAATACTTCTTTATAGCAAGAGTCTAATAATTGTGAAAATAATAGTGATCGAAATTAAGATTATGTGAGTACCAAAATGCCATTTTAGATCATTTTGGCCTTCATGCTCACTTTTTTTTGGTAGACTAGCTAGGTGTTGTTGATATGACGGTAGACAACACTTTTCCCAACAGTCATATAACTTTTGAAAATTGTAAAAGCTGTCTCTTAAAAATCAATGGATGCTCGATTGAGAAGTTGAATAACACATTATCACACGTTTATCTTCAGCGACAATAGGTAGGGTTAAGATCCTCTACCATTATTTAAGATCTGCTTTTCCCGATAAAGAAGAACTGCCTTCTTTCTAACTTTAGTCAAGTACGTAGTATCCATACTCATAGCATAATGACTTTATAATCTTATGATTATTCTGATTTTTTTCTTTTTAATATGTTTGATTTTAGTTACGTCTTTTCGCCTTCTTATGTCTAATTTGGCTGATTAAATATTGATTCTAACTCTGTTTTCCATATTAATATGCTTTATTAATGAGAATAACGCGTTTTTGTTACATGAAGCTCACAGAACTCGCTAATACAAGAGTCTCAAACAAGGAAGCAAAGAATGCATGATTCTAACATTCATGATAGGAGAGAGACCAGCCTTGGTAATTGGTATATCCACAAACACATTTCACAAGCTTTTATTAAAACCAAACATGACATACACACATTTAGAGTACAACACTTTTCTATATATCACTCACATATATTGGGCTACGCTCCTTGTTTATTGTATCATACACAAGAACATGCGTGCTTCATAAAAGACATATACACATAGGATAGATACTCAATTAAAGAGTACTCTCTATTCCTCGTTCAGGAGATGTTCATCGATCTCTTTGGAGACTTGGACACAGAAATCAAGGAAGGTCTCAGGATGAGCCACTTTGTCGTCAATTTTCTCATACTCGACGTGCCAGTGGACCACACTCCCAGGTCCTCCTCTCTTAGGGGTCACTTGGATTGTGATCACAAAGCTTTTATACTCTTTTAATAAGTCTCCCTCTATCACCCTAAAAGTGATGAGGTTTTTCTCCGGCTCCACTGCCTCAATCCTCTCTTTTGCCACCTTTGCCTCTCCATCTGCACCAAATATATTTGTTTGGGTTTGACTCCAAGAATCAGTATGAATATTAGTTCAAAAACATATAATAATTAATTAAGCATATAATTTAATCTAAACTTTTGTCATTTCATATATGTGGATTTGATTGTTAGAATCAGATAAATGTTTTTTTCTATAAAATGGGGAAACGACGATTTGTGACACTAACTAGTTCACATGCATCAAGTATGCATTTCCGCTAAGTTTTTTATTGATATAAATATGAAGTACGTTTTAAGAACCTATTCTATGCAGTTATAGATATTATAACTTTGACTTGCCATGAACATAATTCCAGAAGAGGATAGAGCCGACTTTGCCCCAGTCGCCTTCATGCAGCTCACAGCCCTGAATTTTCCCTGGAGTTGCTTTGGAGACATGGTGTGGTCTCCCAGCAAACATGTGATGGAACTTCCCAGCAGAAGCTTTGATCTCAACATCTGTCTCTAGCTTCCCACACAAACTAGACGCCTCTCTCTTTGTTTGATTCATTGAAGCCCCGGCCATTTTAGTCGCCATTTTTTTCTCTTTGTTTAACTTGAAAATTAAGAGGATTTTGAGAGAAGATATGAGTTCATTTTGAGTTCTTTAGCCTCTTTTTGTAGAGGATTGAGTGCGTAACGGCTGAAGAAGAAAACAAATAATTATTAATTGCAATTTTGTATCCCTTCTGATCATGACTCCATTATTTTGTCTCACTTACTGAATTTTTGTAATGGATAAGGGTTGAATTAGGTTTTGTTCATATAAATGATCTAGAGATCATTCAATATAACGCGGTTCAGGTTGTTCCTTCCGCAAATTCTCGTTTTGACATATTTAATTTGTTATTGGCATGTAGTGTTGTTGATCCTTAAGAGAGCATGCATGTCGTTCGTTCATGAAGGCACGTTAGTTCTTATGCAAAAAAAAATAACAATCATTAACTATGTTATCGGATAAATATGCTTCAACCAAAAAAGTTCTTGGATAAATATGATTAAAATCAATATATGGTTTTTTTTTGCATTATTTGTATCTAAAATCCATTAAAAATATATATATATTGACATAAATTATTTTTAAACATGCAATTTATCTGTGAATGTAGTAATTAAATCTTGTAAAGTTAAAGAACCAAAAACCTCATTTATCACTTTGTAGTCTTGTATTGTACACTATTATTTTCATAAAATTAATATGCTTTTTAGATACCATCTCTGGATAGAAAATGAAACAATCTCTTGATGAAGAGAAATCAAGGTTTGTACGGCCCAAACTAATTTCTGCTCTAGTTAATTTGAATGTAACTTATTTCAACTGTTTGGTTTGATTAACGATCTTGTTACAACTTTTTGCAATGTATAGATTCCAAACTGGGCCTTTAAAAGGGATTATGTATCTTATTTATTTTTGCAATTTCAACAGTAAAAAATTTAACCAAAAATAAAAGGAAAGACTAGGCTTATATACCAGAACCATACTTAGGTTTACCCCTGGGGTGAACCTTTAAATTCACCCAACAGATTATAGCCAATCGTTTTGCCATGTCATTATTAATACTAGAGAATTAAAAAAAAAAGAAACACAATTAAAAAAAAAGGAAATCACAAAATAGATTTAGGGTTTAAGGTTTAGGGTTTAGGGTTTAGGGTTTAGATTTTACAATTAAAACGAAATTAGATGTCGGTTTGGGTTGCCAAATGAGTGGTTAGGGTTTAGATTTTATAATTAAAACTAAATTAGATATCGGTTAGGGTTTAGGGTTTAGGGTTTAGATTTTACAATTAAAACGAAATTAGATGTCGGTTTGGGTTGCCAAATGAGTGGTTAGGGTTTAGATTTTATAATTAAAACGAAATTAGATATCGGTTTGGGTTGACAAATGAGTGGTTAGGGTTTAAATTTTACAATTAAAACGAAATTATATATCTGTTCACCGCTGGGTTTAGGGTTTATGGTTTAGGATTTAGGTTTAGGGTTTAGGGTTTATATAACAAATATTTCACAAACCTAAACAGATATATAATTTCGTTTTAATTGTAAAATTTAAACCCTAACCACTTATTTGTCAACCCAAACCGATATCTAATTTCGTTTTAATTATAAAATTTAAACCTTAACCACTCATTTGGCAACCCAAGCCGACATCTAATTTCGTTTTAATTGTAAAATCTAAACCCTAAACCCTAAACCCTAAATCTATTTTCTGATTTCTTTTTTTTTTAATTGTGTGTTTTTTTTAATTTTCTAGTATTAGTAATGACATGGCAAAACGATTGGCTATAATCTGTTGGGTGAATTTAAAGGTTCACCCAGGGGTAAACCTAAGTATGGTTCTATATACCATATGTTTTTTATTTATGAAAAAAAAAACATAATACACAAACAAAGAAAACACATACATACATTTAGAGTATTGCACTTTTATCACATAGTATCACTCTCACACATAACGAACACGGCTCATTATTTATTGTAGTTTCAAAGAGTAAAATTAATCAGTATGCCTCAACCACACAGTACGAACATGATATAGCACACCAAGAGTATTCTCCTCTATCCCTCGGACAAGAGATGTTCGTCGATTTCTTTGGAGACTTCGACACAGAACTGGAGGAGAGTCTCGGGATGAGCAACCTCCTCGCTAATTTTCTCGAACTCAAGGTGCCAGTGCACAAGACTCCCTGACCCTCCATGCTTAGGGGTCACTTGGATCGTAAGCAAGAAACTTTTGTACTCTTTCATCAGATCTCCTTCTATAACTCTGAACGTGATCAGATTCTTCTCCGGTTTCACCGCCTCGATCCTCTCCTTCGCCACCTTTGCCTCTCCATCTGCACCAATTATTTAATATTTTACTTATGTAAGTACGATTTTGAGTATAACTTGAATGTTAGTACTTCAAAAACATATTATAAGCACATAGTACAAAAACATATCATAAGCATATATCGATAGTGGAGAATCTCAGTGGTCGTTTCGCGAGAGAGTCTAAGATCAATTTAGGATAGGCAAAAGGTAGTTATTAATATTTAAATTATATTCTTAACTTTATTTTCTTAGCTTTTTATTCCCAAATTCAAAATTTCTTAGAAATATATGATCTAACGATATATGCAAAACGATTTTTTTGCAGAGTTGAGAACTTGATCATCTGTTTCCTTAATTAAAAAACTGTCAGTGTAACAGTTGAATGCTGGTTAGAGTCCCATGATACAACTACAATCTTTCTTCTATTTGCATCACTCGAATTAGAAGCATATGGGAGTAAATTATGTGTTCTCAAATGGATTGATCTTGTTACTTTATTGGTTCTTTACCACTTTTGCAATTTGAATAGTAAATAGGAAAAAAAAAGGAAAGACGAGGCTTATTTATCCTTATATAATATATCATATACTTTATATAATAAGATTTGGTTATAAAAAACATATATTATACAATTTATTAAACAAACAAAACACATTATACGTACACAAATTTAGAGTATAGCACTTTAAAAACATACAACATTCTCATATATATCCAACACAACTCTTTATTTTTTTCCACATTCAAAGAGTGATATTAATCGGCATTCTTCAATCACACATGTACGGATAGGATATTAGTCACACGAGGAGTATTCTCCTCTATTCCTCGGCCAAGAGATGTTCGTCGATTTCTTTGGAGATTTCGACGGCAAACTGGAGGAGAGTCTCAGGATGAGCCACCTCCTCGTTTATTTTCTCATACTCGAAGTGCCAATGCACCACACTCCCTGAACCTCCATGCTTAGGAGTTACTTGGATTGTGATCACGAAGCTTTTGTACTCTTTCATCAGATCACCTTCTATAACCCTGAACGTGATCAAGTTCTTCTCTGGATCCACCGCCTCGATCCTCTCCTTTGCAACCTTTGCCTCCCCATCTGTACCAATTATTTAGCATTTCATCTTTATAAGCTTAACTTTGAGACTTGACATATATATCGTGATTAGAGTGGTCTAATAATGGAAATTTTGTTTGATTTTTTTTAAAATCTCCTGGTTGGTTATATATACATGAAAAAGATATGTATAAAAATATTGACTTGCCATGAACGTAGTTCCAGAAGATGATAGAGCCGACTGTGCCCCAGTCACCTTCGTGCAGATCACAGCTCTGAATCTTATCTGGAGTTGCTTTAGACACATGGTGTGGTTTCCCAGCGAACATGTGATGAAACTTCTCAGCGGAAGCTTTGATCTCCACCTCTGTCTCAAGCGTCTCTGTTGTCTTCACCTCTTCTTCCTCGGATAAGAGATGTTCGTCGATCTCTTGGGAGACCTCAACACAGAACTGGAGGAGAGTTTCGGGATGAGCTACCTCGTCGCTGATTTTCTCATACTCAAGGTGCCAGTGGACAATACTTCCAGACCCTCCATGCTTAGGGGTCACCTGGATCGTGATCACAAAGCTCTTGTACTCTTTCATCAGATCACCTTCTATAACCCTAAACGTGATCAAGTTCTTCTCCGGCTCCACCGCCTCTATTCTCTCCTTCGCCACCTTTGCCTCCCCATCTGCACCAATTATTTGAGAATTTATAAGTCTGACTTCGAGTTTAATTTGAAAGTAAGTTCAAAAATATATTATAGAAAAAAAATTCACCTGAGGCAAAAAAGAAAAAAAGTGTAGAAGGTTGACTTACCGTGAACGTAATTCCAGAAGACGATAGAGCCGACTGTGCCCCAGTCGCCTTCGTGTAGATCACAGCTCTGAATGTTGCCTGGACTTGCTTTGGAGACATGGTGTGGCTTCCCGGCAAACATGTGATGAAACTTTCCAGCAGAAGCTTTGATCTCCACTTCTGTCTCTAGCTTCCCTACCAAACTAGGAGCTTCAGTTTTTGCCATTTTTACCTCTGATTTGTTTAATTATCTTGGGAACAATTAGCGTTTTGAGAGAGGAGTGAGTTCTCTACTGAGTTCTTTAGCGTCTATTTGTAGTGGAATGGTTGAGCATGATTAGTTGTGTTTTATTCATTAAATTAATTTCATGATTAGTTGTGTTTCATGTGATTCCGATCCCATCATTATGACTCAGCCGTAGAATTATTTTAATTGTTCATAAAATTATCTAATCTTCAATTATTTGAATTATAACTTTCGTTTTCTCTGTTTCTAAAGTCTCCGCTTCAATATATGATTTTGTTTAGTGGTAGCAGGTGTAGTTGCTGTCTTGCTGACATATATTTCTAGTATTATTCTTAAACATATAATTAATGTTACCATTAATGCAACGTTAAAAAACGTACGATTGAAATAAAATGACAGTAAAGTATGGGTCACGCTAAATTTGAAAATAATATATTGACATATTTATTAAATTATGTTACTAGTCCTACCTTATCACTTTAAGCGATGTTTTAGCGATTTTTTTTTTCATTTCATTTGATGTTTCCATTTTATATGCAAAAACTAAATATATTTAAATTTTTTGACTAATAATCTTTACAGTATGTTTTTATGTTAAAGAGATAAAATAGGGAAATTGTTAATAATGCCACTTTTTCAATGCCACTTTTCAAAAATACCCCTTTTTTAAAACCTTATAAAAAATACTCTTAAAAATATAAGATTTACCCAAATATATATGTAATATTATTAAAACATACACAAACTATATTTCTATGTATCTAAAATCTTATAAATACTTTATAAATACCTTATAAATGCATTTTAAATACCTTTAAAAACCTTTAAAATATCTTGTAAAACCTTTGAAAAACCTTAAAAATCTTTTAAAATAACTTGTAAAACCTTTAAAAACACCTTATAAAACCTTATAAATACTTGGATCGAGTCTTCAAGTAGTAGTTACAATCCATAAGTACCTTATAAACCTAATAAAACTTTATAAAAATTTCAGATTTAAAAAGGGGCATTTTTGAAAATGGACATCTAAAAGGGGCATTTTTGAAAAGGGGCATGAGAAAAGGGGTATTTTTGCTAATCCCTAAAATTAAATAAATTTTTTTTTTTTAATTTATGTGTAGAAACATTATACATCACTTAAAATGATACAGATATTCGATAAATATGATTAAAAATACCATTTAAATTTTTTTAAGTTTCATATAAATTTGGTAAAAGGCAGAAATATATACTGACATTAAAAAAATATTAAAAACCTTAGAATTTTATCTAACAATATTATAAATAAAAATGAATGACTAAACAACTAAAACCTCATTTATCCCTTGTACACTTTTATTTTCATCATCAATGCCTATAATTCTACTTTAATTATTATATTATATGTAATAATCACATTATTTTGGTTGATGCAATGATTGATAATCTTAAGACACAATCTCTTATTCGCATTATTTAGTTGACAAAATCTTTATTTGATCCCTAATTTGTGATAACTTTCCTTCGTTACATATATATATATATATAAAATCATATATCACATGCTTTTTAGTTTTATTAATAACACACATCATACACATATTTAATTAGAGCGCTTTCATTTCATCACTAACATACATGGAACACAGCTTATTCATTGCATACAAAATTACAAACACACACCGACGTATATCTCTTACCCAAACTCGGACAAAGCTCATGATTTATTGCAGTTTCACAAACTAGCTTAAGCATATATGCTTAAGACGTACACAGTTACAAAGCCACACGGGGAGCAATTCACACTTCTTCGGTCAAGAGATATTCATCGATCCCTTTGGACATATCGACACAGAATTGGAGAAGAGTCTCAGGGTGAGCCACCTCCTCGCTAATTTTCTCATACTCAAGGTGCCAGTGTGCAATACTCCCTGACCCTCCATGCTTAGGGGTCACTTGGATTGTGATCACAAAGCTTTTGTACTCTTTCATCAGATCACCGTCCAAAACCCTAAACGTGATCAAGTTCTTCTCCGGCTCCAACGCCTCGATCCTCTCCTTTGCCACCTTTGCCACCCCATCTACACCAATTATTTAACATTGCATTTATGTAGGTTTGACAATCAAAACAAGTTTCAGTTTAAAAACATCATGATATTATAGTCGAGGATATCTATGTAAGGATTTGTTTTCCTGTATACTTATTTTTTTGGTATAGAGTTTTAGTTTTGTGGTTTAGAATTCTCTAGTTATTCAACAACAAAAAAAAAAGTGATAGTAATTAAGAGTAGTTTAGTGAGTCTAATCAACTTACCTAAGACACGTCGATCTTTTGAAACTACAGATTTAGACGGTTGCTTACCTCGAAAATTAGTCTTAATTCATTTTGGTTTAGAATCCACAAATACTTAAAAATGTGTATAAATTTGACTTGCCATGAACGTAGTTCCAGATGACGACAGTGCCGACTTTGCCCCAGTCGCCTTCATGCAGTTCACAGTTTTGAATGTGGCCTGGAGTTGCTTTGGAGACATGGTGTGGTTTCTCGACGAACATGTTATGGAATTTTCCAGCTGAAACTTTGATCTCCACGTCTGTCTCAAGCTTCCCCACCAAACTAGAAGCCTCGGTTTTTGCCATTCTTTGTACTTTCGATCTGCTTATCTTGAGAAAAAAGGGTTTTGAGAGAGGAGTGTGTTACTGAGTTCTCTTCTGAATTCTATTTGTAGAGGAATGGTTGAGCAACCTTAGAAAAAAGAATTTTTTAATTCATTATAATAATTTCATGATTACTTGCGTTTCATGTGATCCGGGATCACATCAGTATGACTCAGCTGTAGAATTATAGATTGGTTGATAAATATTAACTTTTTTTTTGATAAAAGATAAATAAAAATATTAATCCTAATGCACTATATTTTACCTTCTATATTATTCACACTATTTATTTAATCAATATTTTATGAGGACTTTGCTTCATTACATTCTGTTCTCTTTTGGTATAATGCTTCATTACATCTCCATAGGATTCGACAGGGTTCTTTAATGTATGTGGCAGAAATATTTTGTTAAAACACACATGTTTTAATTTTTTCTAATACTCTTTCCGTATCATAGTAAGTTCTGTTTAAGCAAAAATATTTGTTTCATTAAGTGGTTTTTTATATTCTTAAGACATTTTTTTATGTCTTAATTATGATTATTTGTACTATATAATTTATTTTGTTACTGGTTAAATTGTGTTTAGGTAGATAATAAATAATGGTTTATTTTGATACAAAAAGAGTAATAAATACAAAAAAAAAAAATTATTTCCTAATTTATTTGCGAAAACCTTAAACATCTTTTATTTTGATACAAAAGAAGTAATAGCAAACATAATATACACACAAAGTAGAGCTAGCGCTTTCATTTCATCAACACATATGGAACACATCTCATTATTTATTGAATACAAACATGCATATGACACACCAGCATATATCTCTCCTACCCATACTTGGACACGGCTCATGATTTATTGCAGTTTCAAAGACTAATTTCAGCAGACATGCTTAAGACGCACAAACTCAGAAAGCCACACTAGGAGCAATCTCCACTTCTTCGGTCAATAGATATTCATCGATCCCTTTGGACATTTCAACACAGAATTGGAGAAGAGTCTCAGGGTGAGCCACCTCTTCGCTAATTTTCTCATACTCAAGGAGCCAGTGCACAATACTCCCTGGCCCTCCCTGCTTAGGAGTCACTTGGATTGTAAATGTGATACTCTTATACTCTTTCGTCATATCACCTTCTAGAACCCTGAATGTGATCAAGTTCTTCTCCGGCTCCAACGCCTCGATCCTCTCCTTCGCAACCTTTGCCTCTCCATCTATACGCGAATTAGTTATATCATTAGATTCGATTCTGAGAATAAACATTAATGTCGGTTCAAAATCCTCAGAATAAATAAATATATAATGTATGCAAATACCATCATTCGCATACATTATATATGCTGTGGATATTAGTTTTTGTACTAGCTATGAAAATTTAATTTTAAGGTTTGGAATTATCTTGTTTTTAAAATAAAATAAGTGATATATAGTAGTTTAGTGACAGTCTAATATCAACTTACCCTAGCTAGACACATTGCTTGCTACTACAGAATTTAGACGGTTGCATATCGGCTTAAGTTTATAGTCTTAGTTATTTTCGGCTTAGAAGCCACAGACTATTAAAACATGTATTATGTATAAAGTAATTACTTGCCATGAAAGTAGTTCCAGATGACAACGGTGCCGACTTTGCCCCACTCGCCTTCATGAAGCTCGCATCCCTGAATGTGGCCTGGAGCTGCTTTGGTGATATGGTGTGGTTTCCCTGAGACCATGTGATGAAACTTTCCAGCCGAAGATTTGATCTCCACTAAGGCCTCAAGCTTCCCCACCAAACTAGAAGCCTCGGTTTTTGCCATTCTTTGTACTCTCGATTTGCTTTTCTTGAGAAAAAGGAAATAGGATTTGTGAGAGAGGAGTGAGTTACTTCTTTAGCTTCTATTTGTAGATGGATGGTTGAGCAACTCTTGAAAATATTAAAAGTTTTATTCATTATAATAATTTTCATGACAACTTGCGTTTCATGTGATCCCGATCCCATCAGTATGACTCAGCTACAAAATTACTTGTATCAACTGTTCGTAATACGATAGACTCATCAACATGATTCACGTACGACGCAATTTTCGATTTTCGCTATTGTCAAGTCTCTGCTCATTTTTTTCTTTTTTAATATTTTAAAGAACCTTCTTTATTCACGTTTTCATCCTTAAACATTTTTGCTCATATTAATGTAAACATTCTGAAATATATTTAGATATGTTTTTTATTGATAGCGTCATTAGATATGTTTTTTTTATTATAAAACAAAATTTTGAGAACATGAACATAAACCAATTGTATGGCACCAAAGTTCGACTCCGGTGTATCAGTGCATGGATTATAATGAGCTTTGTGTCCAAAAGAAAAAAAAAACACAATAAAAAAAAAACACAAAATTTCACAAAATATGTATAATTTTATTTTTAATTTTAGGAAATCTTACTAAATCAGTCTGAACAAAACTTGAAAAAAACATTACATTTATGGGAAAAAAAAAATCAATAATATTCTGCGATATTCATGGTGAACAATATTTAAAAAAAAAAAGAAAAATTGGAAAAGGATGTGGATGTGGATGTGGATGTGGATGGACATAACTTACAATTTTATCAATCATAAATATATCTGCCAGGTGACGTGCCGACAATTTGAAAAGGTATTTGGTAATCGTCACAGTCGGATATTGATTAGAATTATTAATTGTTATGTGTTGGGTGAATTTGGTAATGTATTACTACCCAAAAAGCCAATGACAATCAAATCAAGAGTTTATTATTCAATTTGATGGATAATAATCTTATAGTTTATCATCGACAACTAACGACTCCAAATCAAATTATAATAATAGAATTACTATATTATATGATCAACTTACTATGTGTGGCTATATTTTATTGAAAATGTTTTTAAATACATACATTAATTTTAATTTTGTAAAGAATTAGTTGACTACAAAAAAATAGAATTAGTGAAATATATAAAAACTAATGATAAATACTAGATAATCTGATTTATATAAAATTATAAATTGACAAAAAATGAAATATAATAATCATATTAATGACATAATTTTGTGTATTTATTGTTTGATTATCAGATTTTAATTAGTGTTTATCCCCACTATGATATTTTTCATTCAATTTTTGTTCCACTAATTTGGCACTATAGGTTATGTTTGTCGCGTTCATCCTACACTAACCACATTTATCATACTTATATACCATTTAATCTCCTTAATTTACACCACTACCACCACATGGTCCAGATTTATCATATTTATACCATTTAATCTCCTTAATTTACACGGTTTTGTCACCATTTGGATTTTTTAATTTGTTTTTTTTTTGTTTGCCAAATTTATTTCTTAGACTCACAAAAATGCCCCTTTTTTAATACCCCTTTTCAAAAATGCCCCCTTTGGCTGTCCATTTTTAAAAATACCCCTTTTTATGTACAAAATGACTAAATTACCCTTCTTTTAATAAAAGATATCACAAATATATAAGGAAAATAACAAAATTAGGTCCACAAAATACAAAATATTTTTTGGCGGGAAAAGTGATCCCGCAATTTTTCCCGCCAAAACACTTGTAAAAACTTGTAAAAACCTTTAAAAAACATTGTAAAATTTTCCCGTAAAATTTTTTCCCGCCAAAAAATTTTCCCGCCAAAAAATTTTTTTTGCGGGAAAAGTGATTCCGCAATTTTTTTGGCGTTAAATTTTTGGCGGGAAAATTTTTCCCGCCAAAAATTTACAAGGTATTTTAAAGGTTTTTTACAAGGTATTTATAAGGTTTTACAATGTATTTTAAAAGGTTTTACAACGTATTTACAAGGTATTTATAAGATATTATAAGATTTTACAAGCTATTTTATAAGGTTTTTACAAGTTATAAGGTTTTACAAGTTTTTTATAAGGTTTTACAAGTTATAAATACCTTATAAAACCTTATAAGTACCTTGTAAAACCTTTTAAAATACATTGTAAAACCTTATAAAACACTTGTAAATACTCTGTAAAACCTTTAAAATACCTTGTAAAATTTTCCCGCCAAAAATTTTCCCGCCAAAAAAAAAAATTGCGGAATCACTTTTCCCGCAAAAAAAATTTTTTGGCGGGAAAAAATTTTACGGGAAAATTTTACAAGGTATTTTAAAGGTTTTTTACAAGTGTTTTAGCGGGAAAATTGCGGGATCACTTTTCCCGCCAAAAAATATTTTGTATTTTGTGGACCTAATTTTGTTTCAAATAAGGGTAAAATGGTCATTAAAAATTAAAAGAGGGCAAACTTAAAAATGGACTCTCAAAGGGGGCATTTTTGAAAAGGGGTATTGAAAAAGGGGCATTTTTAACAATTTCCCTATTTTTAAATAACATATAGGATACGTGACAAAAAAAATGCTTACTCAGCTAATCTATCGGCACATTTGTCACCTTAGCGAGATTTGAATCCGATTAAATATTTATTCAGAGTACATCTTCACACAATTCCCTCAAGACTTTATATGCATATAACTTTGGTTGGTACATACAACACACACACATGGCTTAGAGAGAAGCAAAGCAACCGTTGTTATAATCTCTATGTTTTGAGAAGATTAGATTCAATATCTTTAGTGAGATAGACTGCAAAATCCATGTATTTGTTCGGAGCTGGAGAATCTGCATTAAGTTTCTCGTATTCCCAGCTCCATCTTGCTATACTTCTTCCATGAAGCTTTGGTATGATCTGAAGATTGCATTTGAAGCTACTATAATTCTCCATCACGTCTCCTTCGAACACAAACACGGTCATCGATTTGTTTGCCTCGTCTATTACCACTCTCTCCTTCATTTTCTCCACTTTTCCATCTGTAACACATACCCCTGAAATCAGTTTGATACATAGAGTAGCTTACACTAATAGGAGACACAGGAAGTTATGTTTTTACCAACAGACAAAGTCCAGTTCTTGGTGCCTTTAGAGTCATCACCAATATGCTCCTCCACGCTTAGTATTTTCTCTGGAGATAGTTTTGGTACGCTGCGTGAAGTAGACTTGATAGCTTGGAAAATCTTATCAGCTGATACATTGATCTCGACTTCTATCATGGATTTCGCCATCTGAGCCATCACTTCTTTGTTGTTGATCTTTTGGTCTCTGTGTAGCTCTGCTTATATAAGTGTAGTCTTGTGGAGGAAGAATCTGTACCATGCCTAGCATTTACGCTAGTTTATATTAATAGTTTCTTTGTTCTCTTCACATACAAGACTCATTTGGGGAATTGATTCACCAAGAATCTGAATCTCCACTCAAAAACAAGCCTTCTCAAGATGATTCTATTCCAAGACTCAGGGGAACAGTAAGGCTTGCCTCTTGAGACTTCGTATAAGTCATAGATGGAAGAGTCTTGTTCACTTCTCCAATAATTTAGACGTGTCTTTTAGCGATTTAACCGCTATGGGTGAGGTTAAGAAGCGTCTTTGCTTGTTGGAAACAGATGCACAATCAATTTCTTCTATGCTCTCTTCACATTCTATTTCTAGGGGCTTTTTGGTGGCGTTGATGAACCAAACAACTGCACGGTTAGGCTGCCACCTGCAGAGGATCAGAAAATTATCATTAGGCGGAGCCTATCAGATCATTTTACTTATCAATGCAACAACTGCTACATAACCTTGAATACACTGGATTCAGACCAAGATTGTGAGGTAAAGAAACTTAGAAACCTTTCAAGGATCAATCATCAAACACATAAGAGTGACAGAGAAAATGACAAGTAGATACCATCTTGGACTTGTGTTGTCACTTATCAGATTTGGATAACATCTAGAAAACGAAAAAAGAACTAGATGGGTCAATTCTTGAAGTTACAGTACTAGCACAAGGGCAGCTACGATCCAACCAGCCGTTCCCCACCTCTCACCAAGGATGAACCATGCAAACCCTGCACCCCAGAGAGGCTCCAAACCATAGATCATTGCAGTCTCACTGGCAGATACATCACACGTCTGAGTGGATGTGGACCATAAAGCAGACCAGGAAGATGAGTCATAATCTTGGAAGACAAGTAGACCAGGTCCCATAGAAAAGAGAGCAACGACACATGTCTGAGTGGAATATGGCATACATACAACTCCTTTAAACCATGAAAATGCATCATCACAAATATATTTGAACTATAAAGCAGAGAGCTTTTCAGACCTCATAGCCAAGAAGAGGCAAGGACTTGTCCTTAGCTGTTAGTTCGTGAGATATGTTCAATCCTCAGCATATGAACTCCTAAGAACACAGTGCTTAAGAAATTGAACAAGTCACTAATCTGAACAAATGTAGCTAGTCAGTCAAAGCCCTGAAAAAAAAAAGAAGAGAGATCAAAGATTGAAACTTTAAAACTATGCAGCGATTCGAAACACACACACACAGAGTAACAAAACGTAGTGGAACACTTCAAGGGCATAATAATAGCTTACCATACACAGTTGTAATGGCATTGAGAAGAACTACGCTCCTAAATACCGTAGAATCAAACAAGATCTTCCGCCACTAAGATCTTTTACTAAACAAAGATTTAAAATTTAAGGGTAGTTTCTTCTTCTGAGGGGCAATCTTGTTCGAAGAAGGGTTTTAAGCAACACGATTCGAGCCATGAGTTTCCAAATTACCCGGTCGTTTAGAAGCATTCGTGATTCGAGACGAGGAAGACGAGGGAGAAGAGTTTCTGAGAGAGAAAGGTTCTGTTTGACTGAAAAATAGCGTGTGGAGAGGAGAAGCTACGAACTTGATGACCGCCATGGAAGATCTAAATTGGACTGAGCTTTGTCTCTGCCGATTGGCCTGGTCTTCCCCTGTTTCTCGTTTAAGCCACTGACCAAAATAGGAACCAACTAACCATTGCGTCGTGGTTCATTCTAAATATCTAAAGATATTAGTTGCCAGTAAGACAATGGCACGTGGAATATTCAATCGGACGCTCCACGTGTTACTATTTAATTCGCGTACAGCCCAAAGCATAAGAAATATTTTTAATTTTTACTATTTTGTTGAGAAATGAAAAAGTTGAACAAAATTGAAAAGTGATTTTAATAATTGCGTTGTCGACATTATAATAATCAAATTTAACTGCTTTTTTCTAACATTTAGTGGTCAAAACAATCATTTTTCGGAACAAAATTCTTGGTGAGTACATGTATTATTGGGCACAATGGACACTAGATAATGTGCTTTTATTATCAACCAACGCAGAGGATAGTATCGTACATAGACTTGATGTAGCCTTAGGGCATGGGCAGTGGAGCATCTTCACGGGTGTAAGTGGTAATAAAAAAAGCAAAAAATTGTCTCTCTCTTTACACCCGGGTGTAAGTTTACACTCGGGTGTAACACTCACTCTCTCTCTCTCTCTCTTCTTTCTCTCTCTCTTTTCTCTTTTTTAGACAACTTTTGCATTAAATCAGTTTTTTTTTAATACTTACACCCCCCCCCCAAACAAATGCCCCACTGCCCTTGGTCTTATAGCTATACTACAACTACATGTTTCAAACATAGCACGGATGCATACACGAATGCGAGATGCGACACACCAACAATTATAAACTTGGGCACGGTTCTTATTTATTGCAGTTTCAAAGTACTAGATTAAACAAACGTGCACATACACATCCTCTATTCTTCGGTCAAGAGATGTTCATCAATCTCTTTGGACATTTCGACTGCAAACTGAAGGAGATTCTCAGGATGATCTACCTCCTCGTTCATTTTCTCATACTCGAAGTGCCAGTGGACCACACTTCCTGACCCTCCATGCTTAGGGGTCACTTGGATTGTGATCACAAAGCTCTTGTACTCTTTCATCAGATCACCTTCTATAACCTTGAACGTGATCAAGTTCTTCTCCGGCTCCACTGCCTCGATCCTATCCTTCACCACACTTACCTTTCCGTCTGCACCAATTGTTTTAATATTTTACTTCCCTAGATTTGGCTTTATCAATAGTATTATTTCAAAAACAAAATTCGGAGATATGTGTATATATAATGTAATTATAGAAGTAGTCATCGTCTTGTTAGTCAAGATTCAAGATCCATTTCTGTTTCACGCACTTTTCTTAGTTACTTACTATAAAATTTATGTGCGTTTCTTAATTAGTTAATAAAAGGGTTACTTGCCAATAACGTAGTTCCAGATGACGATAGAGCCGACTTTGCCCCAGTCGCCTTCGTGTAGATCACATCCCTGAATTTTGCCTGGAGTTGCTTTGGAGACATGGTGTGGTCTCTCGACGAACATGTGATGGAACTTTCCAGCCGAAGCTTTGATCTCAACTTCTGTCTCAAGCTTCCCCACTAAACTAGACGCCTCTGCCATGATTTTTGCCTTATCTCAAGAAAATATAAGATAAGAATTTTAGGGGAGGTGTGTGTTTCTCTTCTTGAGTTCTTTAGCCTCTATTTGAAGAGGAGTGATTGAGAAAATATTGAAGAATAATTTTACCAAAAAAATAATATATATATATATATATTGAAAAAAAATGTGTTGAAGAATAGATCGATTTTTTGTTCCTTGGAATAATATCATGAATTCATGATTAGCTTTAAGCCATTAACATCACGGTCCCGTTATAATAATTCACCTACCCGATACTTTAAGTTTATTTGACGTTTAACCTGCCAAATTATATGCGTTGCTCAGACGGTCATTTATATCTATGGATATAATTGATCGATCACACAATTCATGTGGTTTCTTTCATTATCAAGTTTCTCTTCAAGGTAACACAAATCAATAAAATAATAATAATAATATAAAAGTAGCGGTAACAGATTGACAAAACGATATAAAATTGTTGTTGAAAAAATAAATGTTAGTACGAAACAGTATTTAAAATTAAAAATTATTAAATAAAACTAAAAATAGAAAAAATAACGGGACAATGCAAACCAAAAATAGAAAAATAAAACTTTATATCGCTAGTTTTTATAGTTTGTTCGCCTTTTGATAAAGAATTTTTTCTCAAGTTCACTACGAGTAAAACATTTGAAGCGAAATTAAACCCAAATGCAAAGTGGCCCAACACACATTACATTGTTCGAACCATGAGGTTTTTGCTCCATATCCCTAGTCTCATCATCATGCGCCATTACGAGTGACCTATATGGATACTGCTTGTGGGTTTATTATCAAAATTGTTAGTATTATTTTTTTTTGGACGCGCTCTAGAATGCTTCATGGACTCTGACATTAAAATCAAAATTAGTTTTCAGTAAAAGAATCATATATATAAAAGTTGGCCAACTCTCTCCATCCTTCTGCCACGTCAGCACTGCAGAGAGTGCCATGTGTCACAACATATTACATTTATTATTTTATTTTATTTAATTAAGAATTTAAATCATCCATTAATTATTGTTTATATGAAAATTTACATATTTGACTTATTAATTAAGTAAATTCAATTTAATTAGTTACAAAAGTATATCAAACTCATATAGAAATTAAATTATTTAAATTTAGCTGTATAATTGTATAAACTTATGTGTAAACATTTAGATTTTATTAACGTATAAAAATAAATAATATGATATTAGAATTTACTTCATGTTTTAATATACTATAATATATATAGGATTAGTGCCAATGAATATTAGATGAATTTATGGTTTATTTTAATGCAAATATAAGATACTAAATCAACACTACTTTTTCGTTTATTTAAAATTATTTTAAAGATAACCAAATATATATTTGGTTTTAAGATACGTAATTGTAAATGTGTTAAACAATGTAATTAAACATAAATTAAAATACAAAAAATAGAATGAATTATTTAATCGAGAGTTAGAGGAAAATATCAAAATGATTATTAGAAAAAAAAAACACCAAAAAGATTATTTATCAAATTAATTCAATTGATGTAAATCGTTATAATTAACAAATTATGGATGGAAAAACCCGCACGTTGTGCGGGTATTAGCCTAGTATATATATAAAATATGAAAACATGGTGATTTCATCATGGTTCATTTGTATTCTCTTGATGGGCTTTCTTGTTATCTTCATTATATCACGTATCAGAAAGGCGGAGATTAATTTCAAAACAAAAAAAAATATGATATGCTTTTATTATTAAACCAACATAGAGGATCGTACAAACAAGCTTTGAAGTTATAGCTATATATACTAGCTACTACTACTACACGTTGCATCAGACTGAACTTCAAACATAACTCAACCGTAGTAGTACGCATACACGCATGACACACACCAACACACATGTATCTCTTATTCTCTTACATACACTCGGACACCGTTCATTATTTATTGCAGTTTCAAAGACTTCCTTTAAGTTTCAAGGACACACACACAAACGAGGAGTAATTTTCTATTCCTCGGCCAAGAGATGTTCGTCGATCTCTTTGGAGATCTCGACACATAATTGGAGGAGAGTTTCGGGATGAGCCACCTCCTCGCTAATTTTCTCATAGTCAAGGTGCCAGTGCACAATACTCCCTGACCCTCCTTGCTTAGGGGTCACTTGGATTGTGAATGCGAAGCTCTTGTACTCTTTCATCAGATCACCTTCTAAAACTTTGAACGTGATCAGATTCTTCTCCGGATCCACCGCCTCGATCGTATCCTTCGCCACTGATACCTTTCCATCTGCACCAATTGTTCAACACTTAACTTTTCTAGGTTTAACTTTACGAATCAACATGAATCCACTAGTTATGCAAAGAAAAATATAGATATAGCTAGGGTTTACTTGCCATGAACGTATTTCCAGATGACGAATTGACGATAGAGCCGACTTTGCCCCAGTCGCCTTCGTGCAGCTCACATCCATGAATTTTATCTGGAGTTGCTTTGGAGACATGGTGTGGTCTCTCGGCAAAAATGTGATGGAACTTTCCAGCTGAAGCTTTGATCTCCACTTCGGTCTCAAGTTTCCCCACCAAACTAGACGCTTCTGCCATAATTTTGCTTATCTTAAGAAAATATAAGGTAAAGAATCTAGAAGATGAGTGTGTTCTCTTCTTGAGTTATTTAGCCTCTATTTATAGAAGAACGAGTGAGCAAGTATTAAAGGATAGGACCATTTTTGATCGTTAACATAATATCATGAATAGTTTCGTTACCCTATCATAATAATTCATCTTTACTACTATTTGCATCTTATATTAATATAATTGATCGATCACATTATTCACATGGTTTATTTCGCTGAGGCGCTACCAAATTTTCTCCTCGGCTTAATAGTTAATAGCTTATCAAAATTTCTTTGTCATGTTGTGTTGAATCTTTGGGAGAATGAGTGGTTTTCTGATAAAAATGTTTGCACTAAAATTAAAACGGAGCAGGAATTACCAATGTTTTTAGTTCTTACAATTAGTACACTCAAATAGTAAACCCACATGGAAAGTATAATTGAATCCAAAAAGACAGTTTTAGCCCAATAGGTTGAAGCCCACCGGAAGTGGTAGAGGAGGAATCAAGCACGATTGTCGTGGACTTCGTGGGCCTCGTGGGAATGAGAGTTTGGATTATAGTTCTTCTAGATTTGATGAACAATTCTGTTGAAAACATACAAAAATAACTGTTGTTAGAGCTGTGGATTAGACCATTGCTTATTTTTACAGAAACAAAATTGATAACTTATTTTTGTATGTTTTCTATTTGTGATATTTGATTTATTGTTGCATAAGCTCTTAATTATGGTTCAATGAAACGTTAAGATCGACCGTGATGTTGGTAAGCAAAAACTTTTGGAATCTGAGTTTGTCATTCACAAATAATTTCTGCCACGCCAAAAATCATGATGTTATCAGTTTATATAAAAGTCCTGGATTCAGATATTGCAGCACTTATTGTTTTTCTTTTCTTTTGGTCAAAGAGTCAAGACATCACTTATTGTATCATTTTGAAACTGAATACAGTAAAGACTAAAGAGTAATGGTAAGTAATACGGAGTATACTACTAGTACAATATAAGTATATAACCGTGGGGGATTAAATGGTATTCACAAAAAAATAAAATTAAAAAATTGACTATAACGTCCCAATCTCATCTACTTTGACCGCAATAACCGATAAAAAAAGAGTAGGGTGCTAAATTTTATTTTATTTTAAGAACAGTGAGCTGTCTAAACCTACAAAGTCAATGCCTCAAAAGAACATTGGCCAATGTGTTTCACCATCAAATATCATACTAATAAATAACACAACTCATCGTCATTACCAAGAAAAACCCTAATTACAATTATTAGTACGTCCAAATTCGTAATTAGTGAAACAGAAAATACGAAAAAAGTGAAGATAGTAAAGAGAAGAGAGTGCTTTCGAAGACTCTTCCCTCGAATAAACACAAAGAGGTGACAGCCGTTATTAATACCTCCTGCCGTACTTTCTTTTACAGACCACACATACTCTTTTTTGCTTACGACTTCCGAGACAAAGAGAGAAAGAGAGAGAAAAAAAGAATTCTTGTAAAAGCTTTTGCCTTTTAGAGGAAAGAATAGTGCCAGATCTTAGAAGGATCCGAAGACCCATCAGCAACTTTTTACAAGTCAAAAAATCTTATTTTTACCCACAAGACAACAAACAAACCTGCATTCCAAAAACCCACTTCTTCTTCTTTCTCCTACTTCTCTCTTGTTTTGTTTTGCTTTGACTTTCACTATCCCTTTGTCTTCATGTTCGTCTGTTTCTGGTTACTCCTCCGGAACAAGATTTTGTGAGATGACTCACGTGTTGGTACGAAGAGAGAGACAAGGAAAGAAGAGAAGATGGGACGTGAATATGACTATGTGTTTCTTCTACTTCTTCGTCTTCTTTGTCAGTTTTCAGATAGGTTTGTCTTCATCGGCTTATATTGGTTATTCTGGTCGTCACTTCGTCGGGTTGCCGCCGAGAAAGGCTCTGAGATACGGTACGGCGCCGTTTCGTGGGCCATTGAGCAGAGATGATATTTATGGAGACGACAAGAGAGTAGTTCACACGGGTCCCAATCCTCTCCACAACTAACTTTTACGCGTTGCTATTATTATCACCTTACCCCTTCACCCACCTTCAAGGGCTACAAGCAAAACGCAAGACGCAAGAAGCAAGACGCAAAACGCAAACGGGGAACGCTAATCGCGATCCAAAGGTACTCTAGTGTAAAATCGAGTTTGTCATAGATTTTGTAAGTTTTTGAGTATTTTTTTTTTGTTCTTATGGAGCATAGAAACGATTATATTTTAGGTTTTAGGGTAGGATTTGGTTCGGCTATTTTGAACTCTTTTAATGTTAGTATTAAGAATTTAAAGATTATACACCACTTTTGCCTAAAAGCTAAAGGAGATTAAAATTATCTTATTAATACTTAACATAACTGAAGAGAATTGTGAATTGATTAAGTGTTGCAACGGTTACAATGTTGTTGTGTTTCATTTCACAGAAAATTGTGACGTGTCTTATTTGGTGTGTAATGTTTCAAGAAATTTGAGATGGTATGGTTTTAGTGATTGAAATTTGAGAAGGTTAGTGCAGAAGAAGCTCTGAATCATCTTATTTGGTGTGCAATGTTTCAAGAAATGAGATGGTATGGTTTTAGTGTTTAGAATTTGAGAAAGTGTGTAAAGAAGAAGCTCTGAATCATATTTAACTTTCCTTCTTCAGCATCTGCCCTCATAATTCTACTTTTTTCTCTTTGCTCTCAACATATACCTACCCCTACTAATTGAGTAAGTGTGAACAGTTCTCTCTCTCATATTACTGTTACTATTAATTGTTTGAGTACCCCAAAAGTAGAGATTTAGATACATCAACTACTCTGTGACAAAAAAAAAAAGAAAAAAAGAAAAAGAAAAGATAAATCAACTGCTCATGACTATCCATCTACACATTTCCAAAGCGTACAAAACATCGTCCATTTCAAACATATCAAAATAGTTTTTATTTTTAAAATGTATACTCGAGTTTTCAAATCCATGCCAATCATTTACAAATAACTGAATAAGTAAAAACCATGGTTTCGTAAAAATATGTCACCATAAAATGTTAATACGCAATACATCTTCGGATTCAAATATTATCCATTCGTTATTATGGAAAAAAAAAATGTATCAGTTAAAGAGTAAAAAAAGGCAGTAGTATAACTGGATTGGTGTAATTATTCTTTTAAAATCCACTAAAATTTAACCATTTGTAGTAAATACGTATTAATAATAATTTTACTGCCGCAGCTGCTAAAAAGTGGGGAAACAAAAGAGAGAGTAGAACCACTAGGTCACTGGGAAATGAATGGAAACAAGTTTGCACATAAACAAAATATGAGTTCTATTCATATCATTCATATTTTTCTTATAAATTTGTCGTCATCGTTAATTTTATGAATCTAGCATTTTCGTCTACATGTTTAAACATCTGAAACTAGTTAGTGAAGTGAATGAGATAAACGGGATTGACAATTGAGTGACCATGGTTAATATACATTCTGCCTTCATTGATCTTCAAGGACATCGATAGGGAGATAAAGAATTCCATCTCTGCTCGACGACACAAGAAGAGATTCAAGAACCTTATGTCTCGCTGGCTGCAATGAGACTGTGTTTTAACTCAAATTGTATTGCTTTCTTGTTTATTTTTTGCCGAGAAACCAATGTATAGGTTGTAAAACCAACTTTTCATCTATATGATATTTGCACTTTAGCAAAAAAAAATGGTTAATATAATTTGTTATAAAGGACACATGGAGAAGAGAAATGGTCAGGCCCCAGGGCTGTGAGTCTGTGACACTGTCCATCTTCTTTATTGCTCCCATCTGCCTCTCTTCTTTACCTTTTCCTTCTTTATATATAATCCTCACTTTTCTCCATCTTCTTAAATATAGGCAGTCACGTCAATAAATGTGTATAATTCTCAGATTAACGATTTATTTCCGGGCTTTAACGAGCTCCATTGGTAAGACGGTTTTAGCAAATCTACTACGAGTAAAAACATCCAAACCGAAATCTAAATGACCAAGTAATCTATGTGTTGTGTGTTTCACTTGCACACAGTGAAATCGAACATTGTTCCTTATAGCACCTTTAGACTTTGAAATATATAGAGAACTACGTAAATCAATAGATTGTCTCAATAATATGGCAAGACAAAATAAAAGATGAAAACATAGCGGAAACTTGAATTTTTAGACCGAGTTTGTTTTGTCAACCAAGGAAGACCCAACCACGTCAGAAACACCTTGGGAATAGTGTAACTAGATTTAATTATTTGTGCATTAATTCTTACTATAACACTCTTATAAATGTATAACCACGACATATAACGGTCTTAATTATGATGCACCTTTTTTAGCACTCCCAAAGATTCTCTAGCTACAAGTATCGGTCGAAAACATTCATTAATGCACTATTTGTTTTACCTAAGTTTGAATTCATTTCATAAGAATGTGTGTTTTTAATTAATTTTGGCACACTGGTCGCTCACCACTAGCTATTTTCTTCTTTGGGGATAGCATTTAGCATTTTTTGTATATATAGAAACTAGTTAATGTTAAGAGTTGGTGTTTGATCATTAATGATTTAGCAATTACTTATATTTATAACCAAAAAATGATAACGTGTATTCTAATGTATTTGTTTCATCTTAATCTTTTTCAACAATGTATTTGTTTTATGTATACTTGCATTCTCTATTGTGTTTTCTCACATTCTTGTGTGGATTTTTTTATTATAATGTATGTAATTTATCTTTCTATATCTAGTACAAATGAAATGGCGAAAAAAAAAAAAAATCTAGTACAAATGAAAATGACCAAGACATATATACACACAAACAAAACTATAGATTAAGACATATATACACACACAAATACAGATCAAGATATAGTCTAATGATTAAAGCTAGTATTGTTGATGTGTCACCATTTAGATTTAAATCTGATGATATGAATCATTATATGTAGTAGGTTCGATTTGAAAGATATGGGAACTACAGTAGAACCTCTATAAATTAATACTCGATAAATTAATAAACACGATAAATTAATAAATTTGGCCGGTCCCGAGTCGGGCCAGTGTAAAAATTAACCAAATTCGATAAGATAATAAGATAATAAGTTTTTTGAAATCCCTATGTAAAAATATAGTCCCAATAATATCATAAATTAATAATCATGTAAATTTGCATATATATATATATATATATATATAATAGTTTTAGTGTTTTTCACAAAGATAACCAAAACTTTTTGTAAGTTTTTAAATTTTGAATATGCATAATTTTTGTTTTAATAGTCGTATAGGTTTTTAAAATACAACAATGGATGTCACTATTTGTGAATTTTAATTTATGTATATCGTTTATATATGTGAATTCTATAATCGTTGTTATTCATTGCCAAAATAAATTATTTTTTCTTCGAAATATTAAATGTTTAAGGCTAAAATTACAAAATTTATAACATGCAAAACATTAATTTTATTTAGAACACATTGGTTTAGCTCGTATTTTCTAAAAAAAGTTTTCACAATTAAAACAAAATTTTCTATAAATTAATAAATATTAATTTACACTATAAATTAATAAGTATTAATTTATAGATAAATTAATATCACTATAAATTAATAAAATATCATGGTCCCAACATTATTAATTTATAGAGGTTTTACTGTAATATATCAACGTGACCTAATCAAAGGATTAGTACCACCAAGACTAAGCCCGTAGTGCAGTATTATTGGGCTCAACCCATATTCGGCCCATAACCTTAGACTAGAGAAACAGAACCGGATTTAACCGGGATTCGGTACGGGAAACAGCCGACTGTTGTAGAAAGAATATCCCATAAGAGTCAAAGATTCGTGACTCATCATCTCTGTCGCTGTTTCGTTTTCTTCTTCTTCTCCTTTTTCCAAACTTTTCTCTCTGTTACTTCCATTATTTTCTCGAGCTTTTTCTTATCTTCATCGCTTAAGTTTCGAATTCGATATCTCTCTGTGTGTCTAAGTCTAACCATCGCAAGGTTCGTTCTCTAATCTCAAATCTCGCATATTCCTTGTGCCATCAGTTCTTCTCACTGAGCTAAATCTGTTCTGTGTTATGATTCAATCATGTCTTTACTTTGTCTCTGTTTCTCCAGTAACCTAATTCGTTTCAAACGTAACGATTAGTTTGAATTTGAATCTATTGCATGCTTACCAGATCAATTTTGGATGAATTGAATCCACTAGTTTTACGAAACCCTATGAATTTGATATAAAACTGACAAATCCTTGTTGTTATAAACAGTTAGAGCAATCTAATTTTAGATGACAGGATCTTAAAACGACTTGTAACCTAATTTCCCAATCTGGCAAAACTTAATTATCAAGATTATTAGTTAATTGATTAGTGTTTTGTTTCTTCAATTGCAATTATTGTTAAATGTTGAATGTTTTTGTTTTCTTGTGGTGATTGTAGCAGTAGCTGAATCAATAGTATTAAGCCAGGTTAGCTAGACCAGCAAGTAATTGCTGGCTAGCAGAGATTTTTTAGCTTGGGTGGTCTTTGATAATAGGATCCTCTATGAGCCCTCAAAGCGTATCGAAGACGAGCAAATCCCTTGAGGGTGTCCATGGGGTTCATGTTGTTTCTCATTCTCATTTCGGATTTGAGAGTATTGGCCAAGTTTCAAGCTTTGAGTCTGCGGATGCAGGAACAAAGCAAAGACTATTCATTGAGTAAGTTTTATTTGGTACCTTTTATATAGGTTGTTCATAGGCTCGAGATGCGATTATCGATTTGACCTATTGAGATATATTGGTTAGGGTGAGGTCTACTGTCTAGTTCAAATAGGTTTGGTGTTTGATTCAGTGCTCTTCTTTTTATCTTCTGTAGACGTGTTTGGCAACAAAGACCTCCATGCCTAAGACCCATCCATTGCAGCATCCACGGTAATATTCAGTTCCTTCCATCTTGTACGTATCTCTTTGCATCTCTGTGTGTTGTATTGATCCTATGTCCGACTTTGTCTACAGGCGATCAGAGTATATTAGAAACAGCTGCTAATGTGATCACATCGATCCCTTTCATTTTCCTCGGTATGCAGGCACCGAGGTAATCATCCTTTCTTGTCTATCTGATTTTTTATATATACAGTTTTATGTTCTTTGAAACAGATTTTTGAATATGGAAGATATATTCGACTATAGGAAAAACCTGAACATGAAGGTGTATGCAAACTCCTTAATCGGAGTTGGAATTGCATCGAGTTTGTATCATTCTTCAAGAGGGAAATTGAGGAAGTATCTTAGATGGGCTGATTACACAATGATAGCTACAGCGACAGTTGTAAGTCTTTAATTAGTGCCCATTCCATAATTGGTCCCCATTGAAGATACAAAGATAACTTTTAATAGTCTTGGGGATTTCATGTTCTATTCTACTTACTATCCGTTGTATATTTGACAGTGTCTAACTAGGGCTCTTAGAGAAGAGAACCCAAAGTTCTTGATGGCTGCATCAGCGTTGGCTCTACCGTTCCAGCCTCTCGTGGTATCAGCTGTTCACACTGGAATGATGGAGGTGCTAAGAAATCTCAACTTTAATCACTCCATGTAACTAAATCTCAGCCGACGGTAATCTAACACAAATCTCAACTTTTGACCAGGTAGCATTTGCGAAACGCGCCTTAGAGGATCCGGATTTGAAAATGGCTCATGATGTTCACAAAATGTCTTCGTTATTGGGCGGAGCATTGTTTATAGCTGATGATCTTTTCCCTGAAACACCATTCATTCACGCCGGTTGGCATCTCGCCGCAGCCATTGGCGTTGGAACGTGCAATAAGCTTCTTCAGTAATCCACAATACCAAATATATTGATTGATTGTGGAACTGCCACATTCTTGGTTTAGTGAGACCACTTGTACGTGTGGGTTTTCACTAAGCTCATAAATCAGCCGACATAACTAGTATAGTAGTCATCTCTATCTTTAATCAGTGTAAGGAACCGAACCAAGTCACCTATTGTAATATTAGCACAAAAAACTATTGTTTTCCCTCTGTCGTCTCTCTATATTCAACATTGAACAAAACATCAAGAAATTGCCGAATTTTAAACCAAAAAAGAAAAAGAAAACATAATGATGGATCGAGAGAAATGGAGAAGAACTCGATGCTAAATCGCTAACAACTTTCCTAGGTCTTTTTGGGAAATATAAAAGGAATTAAGAATAATTAAGAAAATCAAATTAAGTAAATAATTGTTACTCTATTAGGTCTATATCGGTGGATGATTTCGTATCTTTCCCAAAAAAAAAGGAAAATCTGAAAAATAAACTAAAAAAAGGAATTTAACAAAAAATAAAGAAATGCACATGAATTATGATTATTATCATGTTAAAGAAAAAGGAAATAGAAGATTTCCTCCTTGTTGACCAACAAAAAAAAAGATTTCCTCCTTTTTTGGTTTTGGTTTAGATATATTTATATCGAGACACTTGTACTTTGTTTTTCATTAAATCCGTTGAATCCAGAGTTCTTATTTCCTTCCCCTCTATCACCATTTTTTTTGTACGCTCCAAAGAATGGGAGAGGTGGTGTGTATAGGTGCAAGCGTTACACGCAACTCTACATCGAACACATTAGAGATCAAAGTATCGCGTCTAAACAATCTCACTTTAGGAACAAACGATTCTCCTCCGTTCCCAACCCCTTACCTCCTTTTGAACAACATCGTTAGCTTTGATGAACACGACATGTATGTTCTCCTGTATCCAAGGCTCCGAGATCCCAACTTATGCCGTATTCTCTCCTCCGAGATTGCTTCCAAAGCCAAGCGAGTTCAAGGCTCCTTTGACGTCACAATAGAACAATATATAATCGAGGAAGAAACATGTGCTATTTGCTTGGAGGATGATGATGATGATCACTTAACCGAAATGCCAAACTGTACGCATGAGTTTCATAGTGAATGTATCACTGCGTGGTTATGTATGAGTAATAGTTGCCCTACCTGCCGTGCTCCAATTCTGGATGACTACGACTGTACGAGTGACGACGACTGTACGAGTGACGACGACTCTACGAGTGACGAAGAAAGTAGTGAATAGGGTTTTTATATTACTGATATTTTGATCCCCTATATATCTTTTCATGAGATTTGATCGCCTATTTCTCTTTTCTTTGAGTACAATAAATGAATTGGAATTTTCATATTATACAAGATTTCAGATTTCTTGATTGTTGTCTTGTGCGTATATATCTTTTCTGAATCAATACACAACTCTAAAGGCGGCTGATAGATTCTCAGTTTGGTAGCAAGGTGAGACTCACATGACAATGTGTCTAGAATATCCTATTAGGATTAGAACTTACAAGTGATTTAAGATAACATTTAGATTCTTTTATTTATACACGTACTAGTTGTGATATTTAGTTCACCGTCCGTGTATCCGGCTTTGCTCACGGCTATTTCGTTGCCATTTTTGTTGCTTTCTCTTGCTAAAAACTCATTTGGTTTAGTGAGACCACTAGTACGTGTGGTTTTTCACTAAGCTCATAAATCAGCCGACATAACTAGTATAGTAGTCATCTCTATCTTTAATCAGTGTAAGGAACCGAAACAAGTCACCCATTGTAATATTAGCACAAAAAACTATTGTTTTTCCCTCTGTCGTCTCTCTATATTCAACCTTGAACAAACATCAAGAAATTGCCGAATTTTAAACATAAAAATAACATAAGGGATTGAGAGAAATGCAGAAGATCTCGATGCTAAATTGCTAATACAACTTTCTAGGTTTTTGTGGGTTTTAATTAGGTTCGTTGGGCTCTGAGTTTTATAATGCTGACAACAATATCTGTTGGATCCATCATCCATGTTTCGAGTGATTTACGAGCGACTAATCGTGTAACAATTGCAATCGAAAAAACAAATTAATTTTTGAAAATATATGGCAAAAATTTAATTGAAAACCAAATAATAGAAGGAAAAAAAAAAATCAAAATAAATAAATATTTGTTACTCTATTAGGCTTCTCTCTATCTGTGGATGATATCGTATCGGCGGAAATTTGTTTTTTCCCAAAAAAAGGAAATTTAAAATTAAACTTAATAAGGAAAATAACAAAAATCAAAATAGTGCACATGAATTTTATTATTATTATCTCAAAGAAAAAGGAATTAGAAGATTTCCTCTTTTTTTGGTTTTGTTTTTTTCCTAAACACGTTTAGGTTTTGATATATTTATATATATATATCTATACACTCCCATCCTTAATTCTCATGAAATCCGTTGAATCCAGAGTTCTCCTGTCTATCACTTTTTTTTTGAGTACCCTCCACCAATTCTAAAGAATGAGTGAGATTAAAGAAGTCGTGTGTATTGATGCAAGCGTTACCCGCAAATCTACAACGAACACAGTGGAGATCAGTGTAACGCGTGAAAACGTGGTCGCTTTAGGATCAAGCGATCCTCCTCCGTTCCCAACCCCTCACATCCTTTTGAACAACATCGCTAGCTTTGATGAAGACAACATGTATCATCTCCTCTATCCAAAGCTCCAAGTTCCCAATTTATGCAGGATTCTCTCCTTCAACATCGCTTCCAAAGCCAAGGGAGATCAAGGACCATTGTACATCTCCTTTGACATCACATTAAGACCATATATATTGGAGGAACCAGCTATGGAAACATGCGCTATTTGCTTGGAGGAGGATCAAGACTTAACCCAAATGCGAAATTGTTCGCATGTCTTTCATGATGATTGTATCAATCAGTGGTTATGTTGGAGTGATAATTATAGTTGCCCTCTCTGCCGTGCTGAAATTATGGATGACGACCATCTTTATGAAGAAACAAATTAGGGTTTTTATATTTCTGAATTGATGAGATTTGATCCCTTTTCTTTTAGATTCTTTTATTTATACATGTACTAGATGATTGCAAGGAGGTTTATTTATTTCAAAATATATTAATGTAGTTTGGTTGATAATTTCGTTATGAATGTTTCGAGTGAAGTTGTCTCCATTCTTAAATCTTTTGGATAGAATACTCGAACGCATGTCTTGAATTTAAGAAGATTATTGTCTTATCGAAAAATTTGCTAAGCGGTTTGTGCTCATATAATATTAGTGATATGATATTATGAGACAAATAAGCTTATTAATTACGATGAAAATAATGATCCCAAAATCGATTTGGTTAATAAAAATGAAAGTTATAGTATGCGTTCTCTTAGAGCTAGAGAAGAATGAAGACGTCGATAAGAAGTTTTTTGAGTTTTCGAAAGCAAGGATAATCTTACCAATTGCCTTCTTATCTACTCAATTATCGACTAAATATTTAGACATTGTTCGATCGACGAATACTCTAAAACTTTTTAAATAATAATCAAATAATTTATTATATTTTCATAAACCGATTCAATTTTATTCAATGTCAAAAAATATCAATCCTAAACACTAGTCAAATAATTTATCATACTCCCATAAGCCGTTTCATTTTATTCAAAGCCAAAAAACTTATATCCTAATGATTATGATATTACAAAAAATAAAAAAAAATATTTACTAGAATAATTAGGCATGAGCATTCATTTTTTTGGTTTAGTTTTGTTAGGGGTTTTCGGAATTTCCAATATTTTGGATTTGAAAGTAAGTTTCAAATATAAGCAAATTTTATTTCGGTTCAGTTAGATTTAGTCCAAGTTTGGGTTCAGTCCGAATGTAGACAAAAATTATAGAATTTAAAATATACAATTGGTAAAAGTTTAGGACAAAATTTGTAAAGGATATACCGACTAACTATATTACTATTTGGTTCCATCAATGAATATTGTAAAATTTTCAAAGCAACATTTAAAGAATTTATCATATTTCCATAAACCGATTCAATTTTTTTCAAAGTCAAACAAATTCATATTCTTGATTTATTATTATATTACGCGGGAAATAAAATTGACCATAATAATTAGGTAATGGTCATTCAATTTTCCAGCTTATCTAGTATTATATTTTAGTATATTTCAATATATTTTCTTCATATTTTATAAAATTAACAAATTTTAATGAATTGTGGTTTATTCAGATAAACTGGTGCAGTTGGACGGAATTCAGGTTCGATTTCGAGGTACGAGTTTATACACCGTTTAAGTTATAAGAAAATTTGTGTAGAAATTGAAATGAGTTTCATATTTGTTTTGTTTTTCTCGTCACCTCTAATTTTAATAATAACTAGTGCCCATAATCTCTCGTCCATATATATATGGATCTTCCATGAAGATCTTTAAGAAGAGTCTCAAGAAAGACACGCCGAGTTGAAGGTGTCTCTATCGCATAATATTCAGTGGTTTTTATGTTTTTGCTTTAACGTTTTCTTTAAGGTGTTCATTTAGTGTTGTCTCTAAGGTGGTTAAGAATTGAAATCCTAATGTAAACGGAGAAACTCATGATTATTTAGTTTTGTCATTAAGGTGTCTCTGGGTTTAGATTCCCATAATGGTTTCTATAATTTAGCTTTAACGAGTTTGGAATCAAAGAAGATTCAACGTTTTCTTTAAGGGGTCTGCGATTTTGTGAACATTTTTTCCAGGTTGATGATAATTCCAAGGACAAACCCTTTTAGTAAAAGACAAAAGGTCCTTGTTATAAGCGATTCTCCACATTTTTTAAGTGAAGCTATAATTGTTACAGGTACAAGTGTGGCAGGGCAAAATCTGATGGGTCAGGGAAGTGGGATTGGTTGTGATGATGTAACTGTTGCAGTCACATATGAGACAGGAAAGGGTCTGATGGGACAAAGAAGTGGGATTGATAGTGATGCTCTAACGGTTGACGTCACAAGTGATACAAGACAGAATCTGATGGGTTCTAAAGATAACAGAAGTGATCGGAATTACCAGAGACCTAAAGAAGATGAAACACTTAAGTTTCTTATGAAGAAAGCTGGCTTTGGCTCCAATGTTGCAATTCATGGTACTTTTGGTAGTGGATTGGTTGCTTCAGCCAATAGGAGGGTTCCTCCGTCTTTTGGAAGTAAAGTTAAACCTCTAAGTTTAGAGGAATCTATCAAATTGTTTGCATCCCAGAGCAAAAAAAGATGGTACTCAAATTCATCCCAAGGGAAGTTTTTGCATGTGAAGAAACAAAGAGATGAAAGACAAACAAATGAGTTTGGCCTCCTCCCAATAATGCGACATAACCAGATTCCTGACGTGCTTACCCCTCGTAAGAAGGTTCTCAACGTGCTGCACCATTTCAGAATGGTCTTTGAAGAGTTGGACAGAAATAAGGCGGCACGTTGTGTCAAGAGTCAAACAGATCGAGATACACGGGATATACTCATAAGAGACGGTAAACAAGTTAATGGTGAAAAGATGATTGGTGTAGTCCATGGAGTTGAAGTTGGTGATAATTTCAAATACAAATCACAACTCAGCATAATCGGTCTCCACTTCAACATGTTAGGGGGTATCGACTATATGAACAAAGAAGGCTTGGACTTAGCTACAAGCATTGTAATATCGCAAGGTGCTGCTTACAACGATATATGCAACGCTAATATGGTGGTTTACTGTGGCGAAGGACATTACTTAAAGAGAAAGAATCTGAAGCCACCAGAAGACCAAAAAATGACAAGGGGTAATCTCGCTTTAGCTAATAGCATGAGGGCAAAAAATCAAGTGAGACTGATAATTGGCAGGAAGAAGATGAACGTGAAGAAATATGTTTATGCGGGATTGTATTTGGTTCATGAATTCTGGAACGAGAAAGGACCCCTAGGAAATGAAGTCTTCAAGTTTAAACTTCTTAGACTTCCTGGTCAAACTTCTATCCATTTGAATTATTAAACATTGTTATATCTTTTCTCAAGTTCCCTCCTAAATTAATCGCATCTGCATCTGCAAAGGATATAATTATACATATTTTCTAGACTGTTTGATGGAATTAGTAGTTACTAAAAATTTATGAATCTGATATCTTACATATTTCTCAACGTTATACTATTTGGAGCTTGTCAAGAAATCTTATATATATGTGTATTGTAAAGTTGAGAAATAAGATTTTTGTTTTGACAAAAAAAAAAATCTTACATATTTCTCAACTTTACAATACACATATATATATATGGTTTTTCTTTAAAAGAACATTTTTTGCCAGCTCGTGAACTCTCCTTTATTTTGAAAAATTATTATAAAATTGATCATCTTGTAGATAAGTGTTGCTAGTATCATTTGTCAATGCTAGCATTTGTGAACGATTTATCTATTTGAGATTTTGATCATCTCAAAATGAAGACAAGTAGATGAAAAACAATCCGCCATAATGAGTAGAAACATCATCTAAGATTTTTATTACTTTGTCTTTTTGAACATCCAAGATCTTCATAATTATTTATGAAAATTTTGTTTTATAATTAGAATTTCTAACTTGGCAACTTTCATATGCATTGTCATATGTGCGAAACGTGAACATATAAAATAGTGATTGCTATGTTATTAAGTTGTCTTTGAGTTTAGAATCGCAAAGCTGGATATAGATAAAGCAGCATGATGTGTCAAGAGTCAAATAGATCTAGATACATATGATATACTCATCAGAGACAAAAAAACAAGTTTGATATGTTGTGTTTTTATCGGTTTTGAGTCTTTGTTTTCTTTCTTACATCATATGTTTTATCGAGTCAAAGTGTGTTTTTAGAGTCTTTTAGTCGTTTATCGAGTCTCTACAGGTTTTAGGTTGCTTCGAAGGAAAACGAGCTGTTTTGGGATATAAACACACTTTTGGAGATGCAGTTTCGTTTAGAAGTGTCAGACGTTTGGCCTCAGATGGAATACTTCCCACCGTTAGATCTTTCTGCATTTTTGACACAAGTTAGATGAAGATGTTAGCTTGAGTTTACAAGTGATTTGAAGGACATCTAACGGTGCATTCAAGAGTTATACCCGAATTAGTGAAGACAGGTCATTCTGCCGAGCATTTGAAGCAGTTGCGGAGTTGGAGACCAGAAGATCCAGATCGATCGATCCACTTGTGGATCGATCGATCCCATCCTCTGACGGACGAGAAGCAGTTTCCAGTGACTCGGGATCGATCGATCCACCCACCGGATCGATCGATCCCTTCCCCAGACGTATTTTTGGCCCAGATTTGACCCGATTCACTCCAGATCCGACCCGGCTCGTTTCCTATTGTTTTAAAACCCTATGCTCGACTCTTTACACATTATCTTTGATATTTTTCAGTTCTAAACTTGGTTCTTTGTTTTGTAAACAACTTTGGGCAAAGGAATCCATCCTCTTGACACTTGGAGAAGATTTCTAAACCCTTTCTTGTTATTTCTACAATTTCATCATGTTTTCTTCATTGATTTTTGTTATCTCTTTTTCTATGTGTGAGTAGTTATCCTATTGGGTTTTAGGGTTCTAATTAGGAGATTCAATGGATTAATGGATTGATTGTTGTTTGGAATTCTCATTCTCTAGGTTCTTTGATTCACATGTTCTTAATGCTAGAATAGGATTGATCACCCTGTTGTAGATTCTAGGTTTTTCTATGCATCAAAAGTGTTCGATAGAATGCCTGAAAGAATGTGAATTGAGCAATGTATTTCTAGCCAACGAAAGTTGACGTTAGGACGCATTGTGAACTTAATGAACTTGTTTGGTAATGCGAATTTGATTAGGAAATTACATGCGAAAGTTTAGTAATCGAATAGTCAAATTTAGTGATTAATGTCTTGAAAGAGAATTAGTCTAAATATGTTCATGTTCAAGAACGGTGCTTAATTATTGAATTCCTTGTCTCATATTTTCATTATTCGTTGATTTCTGAAATACCCTAATGCCCAATGTCTTTAATTCATAAGTTTAATCGTCTATTTTAATTGCATTTTTATTTACAATTCTGAAAACCCAAAACAAAACAACTTTTCGCTTTAGCTAAGAACGAGTCTCGAAAATCCTTAGAGTATCTTTGGTCCTTGTGGATCGACCTCGAATATACTACCTAACGGTTAGATATTTCGGGTAATTACTCGAGCAATCAAAGTTAATGGTGCAAAGACCAAAATATGACAAGGGGTAATTTCGTTTTGCTTAACAACATGAGGGCAAAAAAACATGTGAGAATTGGAAGGAAGAGAATGAACCAGAAGCAATACGTTTATGCAGGATTGTATTCGGTTCAGAAATTCTGGAATGAGGAATGACCTCTAGAACATAAAGTCTTCAAGTTTAAGCTTCTTAATTCTTTCTATCAATTTGAATTATTAAATTAACGTTGTTATATTCTTTTCTTAAGTTCTCTACTAATTAAACCAATTGTGTCTCCATCGGCAAATGATCTAATTATCCAGGTTTTTCGATCTAGATATTTTGATGGAAGTAGTAGTCACTGAAGATTGATGAATCTTATATCTTACAAATTTTTTAATTAACGTTATATTATATAAATGCTTGTCAAGGAATCTTACATATTTCTCAACTTTACACTGTATATGGTTTTCCTTAATTCTTTTCTTGCTAGCTCCTTAACTCACATTTATTTCGACAAATTATTATAAACTTGATCATTTTGTAGATAATTGTTGCAATTATCTTTTAGCAACGCTAGCACTTGTGAACGATTTATCTATTTGAAATTTTGATCATTTCAAAATGAAGACAAATAGAAGAAAAACAAAATCCATCATAACGAGTAGAAACATCGTCCAACATTTTCATTAAAAACAAAATTTGAACATCCAAGTTCTTCGTAACTATTTTTGAAAAAGTTGTTTTACAATTAGAATTTCTAACTTTGCAACTTTTATATGCATTGTATTTGATGTAGCATCCAAGACAGCAAATTCTTGAATTGTACATGCCCAAGTTCACGAGAATTAAAGAACTGAGATCCGTCACCACCAATACGTTGGGTGAGGAAAACCTAACGTTTTACGTTTTCTTTTCTGCAAGTCTCTGATTTTTTTTGTGAAGAAGTGATCGAAGGAAACTGTTGCAAGTAGGGATTTTGGCAAACAGTTTCCATCATAGCTTAAGGAGTTTTATTGAGCTTTTGGCGAAGGGTTAGATATCTCTGCAAGGAAAACACAACAACTGATAGTTTTTCAAACCGAGGTATACTCCCTTCGTAAATCAAGTCGCAATGTGCAATGTTTGCAATGTGCCTCATAGGAGAAGAGGAGGATATACCATTAAAGATTGTTAATTGGATGTTGAATATTTCGCCAACGCTATGGAAAATTTCCTAAGAAGCCTCTGTTCTAAAGAATGAAATACATGTGTAAGCATTTTTTTTCTTTTCAATAGAAATGTGTAAAAATCATAGATACAAAAAGGCAAAGGAAGAGATAAATAACCGACTATGAGAGAATGGCAGAGACATAGAGAGCAAAAGGAAGATATTATTCGCACATGCTCCTGGAGGAGGATTGCGCATTCAACGCTCGAAATTCCTATTGGCTATGTTTCCACTTCTGAACATGGAGTTGTTTGAGATATTGTTGCTCGTTAGATCTTTTTCAGAAGATTTGGCTGGTCTCTCTTCATCAATGTTCCAAAACTATATTATTTGGTACTTAAAAGGGTAGAAACAAAGTTAGTGTGAGATAAAGAGACATATGATAGTTTGTATTGAAACCTCTATCACTTGATTTTTTAATGGATGTTTTTGAGAGAATGTTCCTATACAAGATGTACTCTCCGGTTTGGAAGGGAATGTTCATGAAATTGTTTGTGTTGATTTGCATACTAACATAAACATCTAAGCATAATCGGATAATAACCTTCACATCATGTGTTCAAATCCGAAATTGTGTTATCATAATCAACAAACTTGTGAGGAATTTCGTTCAACTCGCAAGAACAAAGTTATACATCAGAACCGGAGAATAGACAACATATAAGTAAACCGGATCAAGGTCGGCTAGATAAAACAAAAGCAGGTAGTGAGGGCCCAGAACCACTCCACTTAGGATACAAAAGCCGAAAGACATGGATATATTGGAGGAAATGACCAGTAAATATAAGACATTTGGGTAATTTGGGTCATGCATGCCAATCCTAACCAATGATAACGAGTTCATTATCACACAATCCGTGGAGAATATGTGTATGTCATTCAAAAGTATATTGAAAATTAAACAAACACCAAGCTTAACCTATATACAGTAATAGAAATATGTGTATAATTTTATTAATATTGATAGATATCTTATTAAAGAATTTGCTAATTATTAAATAATATAACCTATTGATTTGAAATTATTTTGATTTATATCTTTCTTATTTATTGTTTTAAATGGTACATGATTTAAGTTTCAGTTTTTTAAGATCTATTGCTTTATTTTAAAATCTACACGATTTTAATAGATCTATTAAAGTTTAGACCATTGTCATTTTTTCTAAGATTATTCCATTTGTAACGCTCAACGCATAACAATACTTTGACTACCCGTTATTGGTCCCACACACGGCCATAATAAATTTACTAAACCCCAAAAATACAATTTGGTAAAACAGTAATATTTGATTATACGAATCTGATTTGACTTAACGACACTAGTCAAACCCCTTATTTTCTCTCCAAACCCACCAATCACACACTTACACACACCTCTTTAATTAATTCTATTCTTTTTTTTTAATTATTCCATCAACTTACCACTGGCCATTATATTTCTCCATTAATTTTTGTTCCTTCATTTGACCTGCTTGAAACTTTTTTTTTGTTAGATCTTTTGTCGTGTTTCATACTTTTAAATATTTTACATATTTCGATATTTCTCTTAGGCTTAATTCCTTATTCCATATTCCACATTCCACATTCCACGCTTATCACAAAATCTTTCTCCTTTGTCTCGCTTTTTTCTTTTGTTCTTTCACATGTGTATATACACACAGAACACACACTTAAATTTCTATTATCATATAAAACTTCAACTTTACCTTTTCTCTTCCAAAAAAACACTATC